GGGCAGGAGAAGGAATTGCCTACTGTAATCTTGGCAACGCCTATCACAGTCTTGGAGATTTCCAGAAAGCCATGGAGTACCATAAACGACACCTCCAAATTTCCAAAGAAGTAGGAGACAGGGCAGGACAAGGAAAAGCGTACTGTAATCTTGGCATCGCTTTAAGAAATCTTGGACACTTCCAGAAAGCCATAAAGTACCATGAATCAGCCCTCAAAATTTGCGAAGAAGTGGGAGACAGGGCAGGAGAAGGAATTGCCTACTGTAATCTCGGCATCGTTTTAAGAAATCTTGGAGACTTCCAGAAAGCCATAGAGTACCATGAACGAGACCTCCAAATTTCCAAAGAAGTGGGAGACAGGGCAGGAGAAGGAATTGCCTACTGTAATCTTGGCAACGCCTATGACAGTCTTGGAGATTTCCAGAAAGCCATAGAGTACCATGAACGAGACCTCCAAATTTCCAGTGAAGTGGGAGACAGGGCAGGAGAAGGACAAGCGTACTGTAATCTTGGCAACGCCCATCACAGTCTTGGAGATTTCCAGAAAGCCATAGAGTACCATAAACGACACCTCCAAATTTCCAGAGAGGTGGGAGACAGGGCAGGAGAAGGAATTGCCTACTGTAATCTTGGCAACGCCTATGACAGTCTTGGAGATTTCCAGAAAGCCATAGAGTACAATGAACGAGACCTCCAAATTTCCAAAGAAGTGGGAGATAGGGTAGGAGAAGGAAAAGCGTACTGTAATCTCGGCAACGCTTATGACAGTCTCGGAGAATTCCAGAAAGCCATCCACTACCATGAACGAGACCTCAAAATTTCTAAAGAAGTGGGAGACAGGGCAGGAGAAGGAATTGCCTACAGTAATCTTGGCAACGCCTATGACAGTCTTGCAGATTTCCAGAAAGCTATAGAGTACCATGAACGACACCTTAAAATTTCCAAAGAAGTGGGAGACATGGCAGGAGAATTAAAAGCGTACTGTAATCTTGGGAACGCCAATGACAGTCTTGGAGATTTCCAGAAAGCCATAGAGTACCATGAACGACACCTCAAAATTTCCAAAGAAATGGGAGACAGGGCAGGAGAAGGAAAAGCCTACAGTAATCTTGGCAACACCTATGACAGTCTTGGAGATTTCCAGAAAGCCATAGAGTACCATGAACGGCACCTCAAAATTTCCAAAGAAGTGGGAGACAGGGCAGGAGAAGGAAAAGCGTACTGTAATCTTGGCAACGCTTTAAGAAATCTTGGAGACTTTCAGAAAGCCATAGAGTACCATCAACGACACCTCAAAATTTCTAAAGAAATGGGAGACAGGGCAGGAGAAGGAAAAGCCTACGGTAATCTTGGCAACGCCTATGACAGTCTTGCAGATTTTCAGAAAGCCATAGAGTACAATAAACGACACCTTAAAATTTCCAAAGAAGTGGGAGATAGGGCAGAAGAAGGAAAAGCGTACGGTAATCTTGGCAACACCTATGACAGTCTTGGAGATTTCCAGAAAGCCATAGAGTACCATGAACGACACCTCAAAATTTTCAAAGAAGTGGGAGACAGGGCAGGAGAAGGAATTGCCTACTGTAATCTTGGCATCTCTTTTAAAAATCTTGGAGATTTCCAGAAAGCCATAGAGTACCATGAACGACACCTCAAAATTTCCAAAGAAATGGGAGACAGGGCAGGAGAAGGAAAAGCGTACTGCAATCTTGGCAACGCCTATCACAGTCTTGGAGATTTCCAGAAAGCCATCGACTACCATGAACGAGACCTTAAAATTTCTAAAGAAGTGGGAGACAGGGCAGGAGAAGGACAAGCGTACTGTAATCTCGGCAACGCCTATGATAGTCTTGGAGATTTCCAGAAAGCCATAGAGTACCATGATCGAGACCTGAAAATTTCAAAAGAAGTGGGAGACAGGGTAGGAGAAGGGAAAGCTTACGGTAATCTTGGCAACGCCTATGACAGTGTTGGAGACTTCCAGAAAGCCATAGAGTACCATGAACGACACCTCAAAATTTCCAAAGAAATGGGAGACAGGGCAGGAGAAGGAAAAGCGTACTGTAATCTTGGCAACGCCTATGACAGTCTTGGAGATTTCCAGAAAGCCATAGAGTACCATGAACGACACCTCAAAATTTCCAAAGAAATGGGAAACAGGTTAGGAGAAGGAAAAGCGTACTCTAATCTTGGCATCACTTTAAGAAATCTTGGAGACTTCCAGAAAGCCATAGAGTACCATGAACGAGACCTCAAAATTTCCAAAGAAGTGGGAGACAGGGCAGGAGAAGGAATTGCCTACTGTAATCTTGGCAACGCCTATGACAGTCTTGGAGATTTCCAGAAAGCCATAGAGTACCATGAACGAGACCTGAAAATTTCCAGTGAAGTGGGAGACAGGGCAGGAGAAGGACAAGCGTACGGTAATCTTGGTAACGCCTATAACAGTCTTGGAGATTTTCAGACAGCCATTTACTGTTATAAAAACAGTTTCATTGCCTTCGACTATATCAGGGGAAATCTCATATCTAATGACGAATGGAAGATTAGTCTTGGGAGTACGTATGATAATATTAATTTGAGGCTATGGGGGCTACAGCTTAAACAAGGTAAATTGGTCGAGGCACTTTTAACTGCTGATCATGGACGTGCCCAAGCTTTAAATGATCTTCTGAAGTTCAAGTATGGGTTTAAAGGGTTGTCTCCAGAAATAGGAACATTCTCACCAAAACCTGACATTCTTAATTACCTACCATCAAATACAGCTTTTATAGGTATCAACGAGGAAGAAATAGTTCTCTGGGTAAACGAGAAAGGAAACGAAATTAAAACTAGAAAAACTCAGTTCGATATCTCCGTCAAAACCTATTTTCAGTCTCTACTGGAGACTGCACTTGAAAAAATAGGTGTGAGAGCTGATGTTAACTGTGAAGATCGCTCATTAAGGAACCCAAGTGATAACAAGTTAGCAGAAAAAAGATCCAGCAAACCAAGGTCTCATTCCTCATCTTTTGAGACAAAGTCATTACAAGCATTTTACAAAGTTGTTATGGACCCTATAAGAGACTTACTCCAAAGCGATGAGGTTGTAGTTGTTCCACAAGGAACTCTTTGTTTGGCCCCTTATGCTGCTTTCATTGACTTGAAATCTAAGTACCTCTGCGAAACTTTTAGAATTCGCCTACTTCCCTCACTTTCTAGTCTGCGATTAATCCAAAATTGTCCAGCAGATTGGCACAGCAGGACTGGCGCTCTTCTCGTCGGCGATCCGTGGGTACAGGAGGTAGTTTATGAAGGAATGAGGCTAGAGCAGTTAGCGTGGGCCGCAAAGGAAGTGCAGATGATTGGGGAAATACTTCAAACTGAACCTCTCGTTGGAAAGCAGGCAACAAAAGAAGAAGTCTTAACACGTATCTCCTCGGTTGCTTTGGTGCACATTGCTGCTCACGGTGAAATGGAAACAGGAGAAATTGCCTTGGCCCCAAACACAACACGTTTATCCGTGAATCCAGCCAGGGAGGACTATCTCTTAACTATGAAAGATGTTTTAAAGGCGCAGATTAGGGCAAGACTTCTTGTACTTAGTTGTTGTCATAGTGCCCGGGGAGAAGTCAAATCTGAAGGTGTGGTCGGTATTGCACGGGCATTTTTAGGTGCTGGTGCTCGCTCTGTTCTGGTATCCCTGTGGGCGATCGACGACGAAGCTACTATGGAGTTCATGAAAGTTTTCTACCAACATTTAGTCCATGGACGAAGTGCCAGTGAGGCTCTGAATAAAGCCATGAAATCTATGAGAGAATCTGACCGCTTTAACGCAGTGAAGTACTGGGCACCGTTTGTTCTTATTGGTGACGACGTAATGCTGGAGTTTGAAGGCATTCAATAAATAGCAAGGTATTTTGGGATATTTAAACCTTGGAAAATCGTACGTGCTTTACGAAACGTAATTTTAACAAGGAATTATTTTTGCCATTTTATTGAGCAACGAACTCATGTAGCAGGCGTCAAAAGGGGTAAGGGTTTGAAAGGGTGGAGGGGGTGGCTAATTTGATGCAATGGGATTAGTAGAGGATTAAAAGCGGCCAACTGTTGCAATGTCATGTAATGTGGAAATAATGATACCTTGATAAAATTATAAATTGGAAGGAGTTTGAGGGAAAACTATCTTTCATAATATTACGACTGTAATTTGTCACCAGTCCGGTTGTCAAGCGAGTCCCAGGGGCGGGCCCAGGGGTAGGGCATATGACAGCACATCTGAGCGATAAAAATTCCATTTCACTTCAATCTTCAAATCACACACAAAGTGTGAGCCTTGTTCAGAAGGTCACTTATCACGAAGCATATCTGACAGTGTCAACCGGTGCCACGTAGCGTCAATCTGCCAATGACAGGTCAATTTTACAACAACAATGGAGTGTGCCTTTGGTAGTTCTTTTGGCAGTTAAACACTAGAAAAATTATTACAAGTATCATGATTTTTTCACATTTCAAAGTATCGGTGGCCCCGTCTGAGTTCGTTGCACTGTGACTTACATTCGAACCTGATGTAAGCGACGACACAAAATGCGAAGATCAAATTTCCGGTCGATTATTTTACAGAAGGTAGTCGCTTGGTCTCCAGATATGATAAATCCTCTATTAAGCCTCCCGGGAATTTATTCATTTCAAGAACGTTTGAGAGGGAGGAGGAGCTTATTTAATTAAGCGAAGATTGTGATATCATTTCTCCATAAAGAACTAGAACCTAAAAAACCTAAAAAATCTCAGGCACATGAAGTTGGAGGTCATGATTAGCCGAAGATTAAAATCAAATGGGAACTTTAAGTTCGTGAATAAACCATAGCCGATAATCAGTCCACATGAAGGGTTACAGTCGTGATAAATTAATACATCTATTATACGTCTATTATATAAGAATAGGGAGAGGATGCTTGAAAGACATAGGAGGTTTAATAACTTTCCTCTGAAAAGGGGAGCTTATGAGAGAGGGCCAGGCTTAATAGGGAATTTATGGTATTCAAGTTTATTTAAATGTACAATAAGTCTAATCATTGCTTGAAGTTACGATTTTAAATGGGACCCTTGCTCTAATACATTTAGGGCGTGTTCGATTCAACGTATTCTGCGTCTTAATTAAAAATAAATAAATACAGTAAACTCGCTAGAAATCACTTGTTCTGTCTTTCATTCTGTTGCAATATCTACAAAATGGCTTGAAATAAAGTATTTTGATCTATATAAACCTTAAATGGTTCAAGAATTAGGGTATAGAAGAGGTTTGTATCAAAACTTTCGCGTATTCTTATTCCGGAGTACGATCAATCGAGCACACTCTTAAAAGTCAGTTGTCAAAATGTTATGCCTCGCCAGATGAAGTCACTATCCTTTTCTTTTGTTAGCTTGCTAACGTTGCTTTTTGCTGTTGTCGTTGTTGTTGTATAGGTATGATGAAGAATGCAGTGAAGCAGTTCCTAACTACCTGAGGGTGAAGTCAGTTTCTTATTTTGTCACAATTACGAGGTGGAGCGTTCCTCGCAACAATAGGAACGCTTTATCCAGAAGAGATAATTATATGCTGTTAATATTTTGCGTAGTCTGAAAATTACAGTGTACGTTTCGTAGCTTATTCGACCAGTCATGTGCACTTGAAACTTGTTTTATAGTCACCTGAAAAATATCGGGAATCAGTAGTCAATTTCGGTTATTTTCATCGATACCACATGGGACAGAGGCACTTTAGACTAGCAATTTATTATAGCTCTTTCCTGTTACATTATGTACACAGTTCTAGTTTTTAATTCTTTTGGTAGATTGGTTTAAGTTTATTAGTGTCTAGATTGGTTTGATTTAAGTCTATATGACCTTCAATTATACATATGTATAGAGGATACGTTTTACACCTCGCCTAAATTGTGCCTATAGAAATTAAGACGGTATCCACCAGCAATGATGTGGAACTTAATTGTAATGCTGACTAGGAACGTATACCTTAGGTACCTAAGGTCATAAAACACTGGCCAGTACAAATGTCGTATACCTTAGTGAAGCGGTGTCCTTGTTGGCTGATCGAAATCTTCGTTATAGTTTTTTAAACAAAACGGAAAATTGAGCTAAATCGTCAAATTAGATAAAATAAAGAAATAAATAGGATTCCTCATGAGACAATGTAGAAAGTTTCTGATAGGGTTGTCTACTGACACCACCTGTTGAATGCAGTAAGCGTACCCAACATAGCAGGGGCAAGAAGTGTAGCAAGCAAACGTAGCAAGAGAAGTATACCAAACGTACTGTAGCAAGCGCAGCAAGTGTATCGTAGCACCCTCAAGCGTAGTAGCAAACATAACAAGTGTAACAAGTGTAGCAAGCGCCGGTAGCAAGTGTAGCAAGCAAACTTTGCAAACGTATAGCACGCGTAGCAAGTGTACCGGCAAACGAAGCAAGCGTAGCAATTGCAGCAAGCGTAGCAGGTGTAGCAAGTGTAGCAAGATGAGCAAGCGTAGCAAGTAGCAAAGTGAAGTAAGTGTAGCAGGTGTAGCAATTGGACTGTTATAATAACAATCATTTCGGCTAATTATGTTTTACTTGTAGGGCACAAGTGATTATGTAATATTGGTGAACATACTGGTAATTCGTTTGTTTTACGTTTTTGACTATAAGCGCAAGCTCTCAGCAAGACTTGAAATGTTTGCGTTACTACACATTACTCTCCTAACCTTCTTAGTGCCAAGCAGTGGTGGTTTACATAAAATACTCATACAAGAGGTAAGACGTTACTGTTAAAGCAGGCAATGGGTACCAGGGGTTTTTCTCCCGCTGCTTCCGGCGTTTAAATCACGGATCTACGTTTATAACACGGGTCTGCATTTCTCGAAACTCCCGAAAAACTATGTTACGTGAACTTAGTTCATGAAATGAAGTCGGATTTCTAGCATTTTTTGACTATTTTAAGGAAAGCGCCGGCTATAAAATAGAGAAATTAATTGGGAAGGTTTGTCTAAAAAGCTAATCCCAAGTGCTAGAAAACAAACTTGAAAAATTATGTTTGGGCATGAAACGTTTCCCGCAGTTTTGAGAGACGCACACCAGGTAAAGCAAATCCTATGGTTTTCATGGTCTCATTCCGTTACTGCAACTTCACCGATTAAATGTCAGAACCTCTGGAAATGCGCTGGTGTCCGGTTAATAGAGGTTTGGCTGTATCTTTGTCTACCTGTTATAAGTAATTCAGCTTCCAGCAAATATGAAAGCACACAAACCATCTTCAGTCTTTGCATGATTAAAATGGACAACCTTCCCCAGTTCCCGAATACTTTTTGTCACATGACATATTTTACATATATTCCTTGAAAATCAATACGTTTCCCGGCTGTATGCCCTTTTGAGGTTCCTTGATAATTAATTTTTAAGGGGTACAAAGGAAGTTTGAATAAAGGGACGACATTCCTTCCCCTAAACTGACCTATACCGTAAAAGATCTATTAAACCCCTGGGGTGTGTGTTAATTTATTTTAAGTTTTCAGAGGGACCTCTTCTGTATCCGGTATCAGTAATAGGGGGGCGTTTAAAAACATTTGAGTCTTGGTAAATGAATTTGCCAAAATATATACATTACAATTTCGTCCCCGATGCCAATAGGGAACTTAAGCAACAACGACGGCGAATTTTTCTGGAGTTGATTTTTAAAGACTGTATCAAAGTTCAAGAAAAGAAAAAGAAAAAAGAAAGAAAGTCGTTGTCTTCGTTCACGTCCTCGACAAAACGTCAAATTAGGCACTTTCACGTTGTAGTAGTGCAGCGACGGCAAGGAAATGTAGAAAAAAGCGTGATATATATGCAAAGTTGTTGTTTTGCCAAATGAATCTAAACCAAGAGAGAGTGATCTAGCTCATTCTCTCTCTTGTCTAAACCTATTGCTTTTTTGCCGTTCTTTTTGTCTTTGGTCAAGCTCCCTAATGTCGATATTATAAAAAGTGGTCCTAAACTTCCATAGAGGGCTGAGATGTATGCCCTTCTGCCTGATCTTGCCTAGGAAAAAACGTTTTCAGCAAAGATAATTAATAAAAAAAACCTTCAGAGGCGTTACCCACGTGATTGAACTAGATCAAGAGCCATTATGGCTCTTGACTAGATATGGTGTGTACTTAGTAGGGTAGGGTTGGGAATATTATAAGGTAGGGTAGGGTAGGGTTGGCTAGAGACTATTAGTAAGGGCTTATAATCAGAAGCTGCGCTTTTATTGGATTGTTCGCGCTGGTGACTCATTTAACTTGAAGTTTACTCTGATGACCAAACGATTATTTTGAACTTGACAAGAATTCTGCTGCCTCATACAGAAACGTCATTTAGACTATTTATCTGCTAAAGTTCCCTTTATATTTTCCTCTTGGATATAACATTTAATGTACATTTATGTGGAGAAGGTAGGCGGCAGTTTTAATTTGAGCCACTTTTGACGGAAAAAACGTGTAAATCCCTATGACATAGCTCGTCTGACATTTGATGTCAGAGCGAATTTATCATTCAGGTATTGCATGTAACAAGAAAGCGTCAAAGCAAAATTCTAACCCAAATTTAGCCTGAAGTGTTAACCGCTTTCTCGCCCGACACATTACGCTAGTTAACCTTAAAATCCAATCCCAATCTCGACAGAAACGCGAGTCCCGTTTGCTACTAAACCAAATTGAAAAACGCTTCTCGGGCCCTAAAGGTTTTCTAGATTTTTGAGAAACGCACGCTTGAAAAGTTTTAGGGAGCTCCGAGAAAAGAACGTCTGAAATTTATTTCTGGTCAACTTAGACTAAGACTCTTAGCCATGGACGTAACGAAACTTTAGCTTGTGTCGAGGGGTCATTGTTATGTCAAACTTTCACCATCTTCATCTTTCAGATGGGGTTATTATTATTTCCTTTATAACATTTCTTGTTTCACCTGGTGAGTTTTTTAAGGGTTTGTTTTGAGGGAGTTGCGAGCGTTTTATCGAACATCTGAAAACTGACAGCCGTCGTCAGTCAACAAAAGTTCTTTGAAGAGCCACGTTTTACCCTGGATTCAGTGCGCATTCTACTACGGCTGTGCATCATGTTCAATTAGGAATCTACGGCCTGGCCCATAGAGGCTATTACAATTTTTTTTTTCTCGCTAACTCAGTTATCGCGCGATTTAGTATACTTTGTCTGAGAAAGTTCGAGCTCACGATAAAGTTTTTTTTTTAACTGAGAACTTTATCGCGCGATAACTTTTTAAACGTCGAAGATCAAGCACGTAATCTACAAACATGGCGTACAGGTGTTTCGCTCTGCTAGAAATCTCTGTTCTATTTGCGTTAATTCATTCATCAAGCGCCGTCCTGCCGCCTTATATCGGTGGTGATTTGCATCATGAAATAGCTAGCGGAGAGAGACGAGCTAATCAGGAGTTACTTCAGTATATGGGTCTGAATTATTCTAAAATATTATTCTACGCAAAGTAAAAAAAGTGCAATAAAATAAACATTTATATTTTGGATCCAAAGGTTTTATCCAAGTAACATGGATTTCATTATCCGGCATAGCATTTTCCCCGACTCCACAGTTTTTTTCAATCGGATCCAACATTACGTTTTTATTCCTGAGATCCAAAGTTCTTGCTAGGGATCCAAAGTTATTACTCCGGATCCAAGGTTTTACTTCAGATCCATAAATCCAATCCAATTAATATTCCGACACTCAAATTTGAACACGTGACAAGTTTAAAAGACTGTTGCTCGGTATTTTTGAATCAAGGAAAGAATTTTTTCTGTGCTGGTGTTTAGGATCACTTCTTATGGCAGAACGGCAACAAAATCAATAGATCTAATTAGCAAACAAAAAAACGTTGCACGGGCAGCACACATTTTTGTACATTTCTTTGCGTTGCTTTGCACCTGACTGCAATAGAGCTTTACCGTCCTTGCACGAATACGACGTGAAAATGCCTAATTGCAAGTTTTATGGGGGACGTAAACAAGCGACGACGAATCTCTGTTACTCTCTCTAAACTTGAGTGCGGTCCTCAAGAAATCAACTCCAGGGAAATTCGCGTACCCTTGCCATTTTCAGCAAATTGGAATAAACGCGACAAAGATAGAAAAAACGGGAATTCTTTTCAAACTGACGTTTTCGTTGGCGTTGCCGTCGTCGATGCTAAAGCTCCCTAATGCCGTTTTCTACGTGCAGCACACGTTTTTGTACATTTCTTTGCCGTTACTTTGCATAACTATAATGCCGTTTTGTACGGGTAAACCCGGGTAAACTAACATCAAAGCCAGAACTCGAGCATGGACTCGACGCAGGACTCGACCAATTTTTCGCTTTCCCGCCATTTTCACCTTTTGCAAGTCACATGACCATTAAGAGGAGGGTTTTCGTGGCAGTCATGGAAAGTAAGGGTTAGGGTAAGATTAGGTTTGGTTTTATTTGTTTATGTATTATTTTTATATATTTTTTTATGCTTACAGAAAAAAATAGAAAAGTCCTAACTAGAGTCCTGGTTCGAGTCCTGGCTCGCTATATTGGCATCCTCGTAAAAGTCACGTCTCAATAGGCCACTTGCACTGATAGGTCACGTGACCAATGCTTCCTTTAAACAATGAGTTGGAATCTTTCTGATGCCAAAAATTGACATAGCACATAAAAATTATCTTAAGCCGAAATTTGAGAGGAAACACATTTAAGGGAGATATTTTATGCCACTTTGATTTTTCAACAAAGTAGTTTGATTTGTATTGGCCGCCATGTTGCCCTCCAACATGGCGGCCAAAACTACTTTTTGCTTATATCTTGTCAAAAGTTTGATAGCTACTCTCAGATGTGCTGTAAACGTTACCGCATCATCTTTTCAACATTTTCCTTGCAGTTTAAGTGCAAAATTTGTGTTCAAAAAGAGGTAATTCATAATTTTAAAAATCACATTTTGGTCACGTGACCAGCTACGAACTTACCCATTTTAAGAAAATGGTGCGGGTTTGAAAAACCAACTCACTGTTATTTTGTTTAAGATATGACCCACAAATCGTTTTTCGAAGGCAAAATCATATAACTTTCATTTTCATAAAAACGATGTCACATGACCTCTTAGTGCAAATGGCCTTTTAATTTAATGGCCAACGGGGAGGAAGCAAATTTTCCGGAAAAAAATTCTTACAAAGGGTTGCACTCAAAAAAAAAAAACATTCTTGGACAGGCAATCGCAAGAAAAACATTCTTGGTTGCCTAAAGACCCCCCAACAACCCCTTCCCCATCACTTTTCTAATAGTCCTTCTCTAACTGACCAACTAACCCCCAGCAGCTCACCACTCAAAACATACACCGGAATAAAATATTGCAATTTAAAAGACATTCATAAGTCAATCCATTACACAGCTTGATGTTCTCTTGAGTTTTCTATAATTGTTGACTGAATTAAAAACACTTCGTCTGTCTTTACTTCTCAGTTTTGTCACACAAGAAGTTTCTAAAGTAGTCAGCATATTCTTTAGGAATAAGATCCTCTCCTTCAAGTATCTCATTGAGATAAATTTGGCTCGGTTTTAGCCCCTCTTTAACATACTCTTCACACGCTTGATACGCTGTCGCATCCACGATTTCGCCGCTTTTTCTCTTCACCTGTACGATCACTCTCCGAAGCCTCCCTGCTTCGTGTTCATCTAACTTGGCTAAACTTCCTTTCAAGCAGATGTACAAGGCACCATAAACGGTTGACTCCTTATCTGGGATAATATTAGCATAACCAAAGCCATCGTCTTTCCATATACTCAATACGACGCGAAATCCTCGAAGCACTGCGCTTTCGCGAGAGATGAACCTAGTGCCGCGTTCCCGCATTTTTCTTGCTCTCAGATTTGACCCAAAAGCAAAGTAAAGCTCTGTTTCTTCCATGGGTGTACAGTGTCCTTGACTGTTTTATACCAAGTTGTGGTCGCTGATGAAAATGAGTCACACTTGATCGCCCTAGTGTGCGATGATGCTCACAGTTGCATCTCGTTAGCTCATTAGCTGTCCAAGGCGTTTCAAAGTCATGGAGTGGCGTGAAGGAGAGTGGCAGCGGACCTGCCATTCGAAACGAGTGAAAGGTGAAAATCCCTCCTTGACTTGCTCCCAATCTTCACGTGGCTCCGCCGCCAAAAAAACTACAGCACTCGCGGCTAAATCGCTAGCAACGCAAGCTAAGGAGAGTGTGAGTCTCCGTTCCCTTTTTCATGCCGATCTCTTCTATTTCTTCTCTCCATGAGTCACCACTTTATGAATTCGGCACCCCATGTATGGTAATCATCCTAGAATACGAGCAGTATCTCTTTTTTTTAATAGTCCGTCGAGCAAAACGCGCGACACAAGCAAAGAACATGGGCATAAATGAAGGCGCGAGACAGGAGAGCACGCTCTTTCCTTCCATCTTTCGTGTGCGTGCACTCCCCTCACTAAATCCGAAGAAAAAGAGAGACTGCTCGCAGTTTATAATCATCCGGAATCAGGGAAATTTTTTAGTTTAGAATCCAGAGTCCTGGGCTTTGGAATCCCTAATTTAGCTAAAAAAAAATCCAGAATTCTGCTGCCGTTAACTGAGAAAATGCTTTTGATCAAAAGAAAAACAAACCCAGATTTTGGATATCTCAAGGAATTACGTCTTGCACAAGACTCTTTGCAGATGATATGAAGGTGTAGACCTTGGGTACTGAGGGACACTAAGAAAGATGTGGAAGAACTCGGCAGAAAGATCTTACTCGTTTGGAATCCCGGGGAGGGTACTCCCATACATTACCAAGAGCCATCATAAGTCCAAGAGAGGATAAAGGGGACAGAGAGGGCATCCTCCGTACTCACCTTATTCCATAGGTAATTCGTCTCGAGTTATTTTTAAGACCACAGATCCCAAGGGGGATTGGACAACAGCCAATCACATAGCTCGAATGTGTTCCGCGTGGATAACCCACGCTCAGAGCCACGCGTCCTTCACGAATTGAGGCAGAAAAAAATGGCGGAAGACGCGGAGAGCGATATTGCTATTCGTTTTGTCGACGAAAACGAGAGATTTTTGCTAAAGCTGTGTCAGCGAAACGAAAATTAAAAAAGAATCGCCCTTCCTCTCTTGCATAGAGCTAACAATACAGCAGGGAAATCCTTAACACACTGAATATTCCCTCAGGATAATCTATAATTTACAGTTTGAAGAGAGCAATTTCTGGTTTGATATTTATTCTTTCATTAGTCTTTTATTATTCAACAAAAATAACACTTGGCGTCCTATAATAATAATGACAATTTAATAACTTCTAGAGCGCTATTTACATTCACTGATCAACAGCGCTTAACAACTTAAAAAACTACAATAAAATTCAAATTTGTAAAACTAATTACATGTTCATGCATATTACTTGCTACTTGCAAATAACATGTTTGCTGGCCAAAGTTATCTGGCCGCTTTAAAGAGTAAAACAATTTCGTGACTCCAATGCTATTGAAGCTCAATTTGACTAAAGTGCCCAACAGTTTCTCAGCAGCGATTCCCTTTTCCCATGTGAGCGCCGACTCATTTCGCTTCAATATTCAGATATGCTCTCGATCTCTTTACGCCTTCATTGCCCTTCGCCAGACATGTTTTGCACGGCGTTTAGTTATGCGAAACCTCCACGAAACCTCCACGCAGCGCGCGAGGTAACTTTATCCCGATTCTAAAAATAACTCGAGACGAATTACCTATGCAATAGGGTGTATATGGGGGATACCTTCTTTGTCCCCTTTATCCTCTCTTGTTAGTCCTATTATGGCTCTTGACATTACCTATATGGGTATGTGCCGCCCAACGGGGTCGTGATTTTGAAGCTCCTGATTTAGAACGGGGTATCCATTTCAGAGGCGTTTTCTAGAACGGGGTATAATATTTAGAACACACGATAGCTCCAGTTTTGAAAGCAGCCATTTGAAATTATTCAAGGACAGATTGCTTTTAGAAATACGGTTCAATGCGTTAACAAGCAAACTGTATTGTTGCACCCTCTGTTTTAGCGTGCAGGGTAGGCGTATTTTGGCGCGAGCCCATTTCTAGAACGGGGTATCAGTTTTAGGGCGAATTCTAGAACGGGGTATAAAAAAATGGCCCATTTCTGGAACGGGGTATCAATTTTAGGGGAAAATTTTTTTAGAACGGGGTGCCAAGAGAAGACAGATAGTATCTGAGAAGACAGATAGTGAGTACAATGTATAATAAATGGGGTTATAGGTGTGAAAATCCGAGATTTTGGAAAAGGGGAAATAAATCATTTCATCCTGGAGTAGGCCTGGGAACAAGTTTCGAAGGCTCAATCAAGAGAAGCTGTACAGCGGTTATAAGCTGAAGCACTGGAAAATTCAAGATGGAGGACGGTAAGCATGCTTCCCCCCGGACTTATTGCTTAAATTTATCCTTAATTTGGCGCTATTCAGTTTTAAAAACATGTCTTCTTTATGTTATTAAGTCTTTTTTCTTATTTATTTCACGAAAATGAAACGTTTCCAACTCTACGCAGCGTTGATTTTCAGCTTTTTCGTGATTTGGTCTGGTTTGTAACGCTATGTCGATGAGTTATTCTTCTGATTTCAACTAATCTCACTAGTATTACATATCTAATCTTTGAGGGTTTGATACTTCAATTTATAATTGGTTTCAGGTGCTAGGAGAATCTCTGCCATTACTCTCATAAAATGATCGTGAAAAATGTACCTTTTTCCTTTGTAAATATCATTTTTTGGTCCAGGAATTCTCTCAAAATGCTAACAGTATGAAATGTATTTCTTTTAGTTGTTGATCAGTTGTTTAGCTCAGTTTCCATTGGGATCATGTGACCCTTTATAAGCCGCTCCTTGAGAATTTCACAGTACTTGACACTGAACAGTTTACTCGTGGCGGCTTTTTTCGGCTTCTTTGAGGTTTATGGGATTTCCTACATTTAATTTGTACTAATTGTACTTTTGCATTGCTTTTTCAAAATGATCTGGCATCCGTTTACTTTGTTAATTTTTTGCTTAGCGTATCTTGTCAGTGCTTATGATGTATCTTACATCTAGCTGTTCTTAGTGCTCTGTATTTGTATTTTTTGCATATATCCCCTATATTTTGGTGCTTTTGCTGTAACTCTTATTGGTATAATAAACAATTATTTTTTTGTAATTACGTATAACAATTTTGAAATATCACTTGTGGTATTTATGCCAAATATCACTACCTATATTACGTATACTAACGTAAAGTTCCTGAGCACATAAGCAAGTGTAATTAGAAAAAATAATATTAACAAAGTGATCTAGACATTATCTCTTTTAGTGCCTGGAAAAATACCTGTAAATCCATGACAAAAGATCTCTATGCATCATACCAAAGAGAGACTAATCTGTTAGTTTTTTATGTTGTTTTGGTAGATCTTGAATTGGAGCATGAGGGAGCAGCTGCAGGATCCACCTCACAGCCAGTTAGGCGAAACATTTCTTTAAAACTGAAAGCAAAGAGCAAGTCAGCAAGCTCATTGTCATCTGGGAAAAGCAAGAAAAAGGAAGGAAAAAGTGGAGAAAAGTCAAGGACAGGATCTGAAGGTAAAGAAGTCAATTTTCTTCAACGCTGTACAATGTATGTCCAGTTTTAAGCCATGCTGTCATGTTGTTTCCTTAGAATAAAAATAAGCAACATTGACAAGTTTTTCATTATTTTTACTGTGAATGTTTGTTTATTCAAAACAGACAATCAGTATTACAGTGGAACCTCGATATAATGAAACTCTGTACAACGAAGTCCGGTATAACAAACGATTTTCTTTACCCCAGTCATAGTAAGATATGAAAAAGAACCTCGATATAATGAAACCTCGTCGATATGGCAAACACATTTTGCCAGTCGCCTAGCCCTTCGTTAAATCGAGGTTCCACTGTGCAGATGTTTCTAGAACCTTCTGGAAAAACCTAATTGGAAAAACAGGTTTTTCAAGAATGGTCTTTTTGTTGTTACATCTTACCTGTTTTCACCCTTTTGTCACTAACTAGTCTGTCAGAGAGTTCTCTTGTATTTTGGCTCATAAATAAATTTCAATTTGTCTTTGAAAACGTCCAAGGCTCTGGTAAATTTATTAAGTTGAATGCCAACAAGGGTGTCCTGTGATTAGCTAGTATCCCATCCAGAGAGGTTAGCCATACTCCTACGGTGTAAATGCTTCATGCTACAGAAATTAGGTTATGCTCTGGCTGTTTGGGCGTCAAGATGTAGGTCTGCCTCTACCTGCTTTTGCACCGAGTTACACTGCTCTTTTGGATGTTAATTCTTGCCTTCAGTTGTACTGTTATTTATTGTGTACTGTAAGTGTCAAAATTCTATCCTCATGGTAAAAGTTCTTATATTTTTTAAAAGAATTTGTCATTCATGTGTACCAGCTGCCATACAACCATGATTTTTTGTAATGAAATAGAAAAAGAGTTGTGTGTTTCTTTACACAAATCCTGGTCAAAATTATTTGTTTATATAATTTTGCCTGGATTTGTGTCAAAGTTTTTCAGGTAGAGGCCATAGAGTATAGTTAGGTTGTAATGACAGGTTGTTCAGTCTTCAGATGATAAGATTTAAGTAAAACCACGTAAACTCAAACGTAAGTTCAAGTTCAAGTTCACTTAGTCACATTTATTCAATTACCATACAACAACAAATAAGAAAAAAAAGAAGTAAAACAGAGCTAACTATACATTGAATTAAACATAACAAAGGAAAAAAAGTGTGTTGCAGCCAAAGGACCCAAGCTTTCGAGTTGGCTTCTACCACAGAGCGGTTACATCTTGCTCAGTGCCATTTTGTTGTAAAATTCCTCTTAGTTGCAAGAAGCCCTGGATAGTTATTTTATGCTTAGGTGTTTGTCATATCTATTAGGTGATAAGGAAAGTAAAAGGAAAGAGAAATCCCCTGGAACAGCTGCCACAGCTCAAGTGGTTGTTATAAGAGAACTCAAGTGGGATCATCAAGTATGTACTATTAATTTTTATGATTTCTGCTCATTTAGTTCCAGTCACTCAGCCCCTATTTGAAAGTCGTTTACCGTAAACGACCTAATAAACGTCTACTTCTAATTAAAGCACCCTCAATGCTGTTAAAATTTTATTAGATGCCCTCTGTAATAAACGCCCCTGTCTAATAGTTAGACGGCTCCCCATAAGAATTACTCCAAAACACTAGGAATTAGCAAAAGGAGCAAAATCATTCAATTCATTCAGTTTCTTGCTTGATTAGCAAGGGTAAATGTGTATTTCATCTTGTTCAATGTCAAGTTAAAAGTGCGGATAGACTAACGATGCCAACACAATAACAATGAACAAGCATTCTAACATCAATGTTGGGATTTGAAAAAGAGCGATAATATAGATCTCTAGACGGCCTAGACGTATCAATTGATAGAGTGGATATTCCGCTATTTTTAAACTCTCTTGATATTTTTGCTGAAAGCATGTTAGGTTTGTTGAGCTTGTTACAGTTATGAGAATAAACCCTTCTCTCTTTTAAACGCCTCCTTTCTATTAAAGACCCCAACCTTGGACCCCTAGAATTAACTAGACACCCTGGGTGTTTATTAGGTCATTTACAATAACCCCCCCAAATTAAAGTGCCTATCACCCGTATTCAGTTATATTAAATTTCGAACATTTATGTAGTTTAAAGAATTTTTGCAAAGAAATAAAAGTTATTTTGCGTTTCAACACACTTTTATCGAAGGACAAAATTGGCAATTTGAGGCTAATTTCTTGTCATATTTATTCAAAAAAGAGTGATTGAGAGACTGGGCACTAAATGCTTGTGATGTCAACCGGGTATCTTGTAGCCAATCATGTTATTGCTGAGGTACCGGGTTGACGTCACAGACTACGCGACCCAGTCCCCAATAAGGCACATTTTTTACTTCGTGAACCGGGATTTTGATTGCTTGTTAAAAATCAAGATTGAGCTCAAATCCCATTCTATTGCTTGTTTTTGCATGTTATATGTTTCTACTTCTTAAAAAGAAAGATATTGGCTATGGGTTATAGGCACTTTAAGTCATTATTTTTTTCATCTTAAAGATTTTAGCCCCGTACTTGTAGATGAGATAACTTTGGCTCTAACGTTTCTGTTATCATATCAGTTTTGTCATTCAAACAAGACATTTACTGTTAGGTTTCAAAATAGTAAAGCTTATCCTCCTGTCTTCCTCACAGATTTTGCCAATTGGGCAAAAAGTGCAAGATCCACTTCTCCACCTTTGTGAAAAGGGCTCTCTCCCTATCCTTGTTTGTGGCTACTGGTATGTATAACAAGTATTTACAAGTATGTACTCCTTTACCAGGGTGCAAAGAAAGTCGTGTCTGATAGCCCGGGACTAGTGGATTTTGTTATCAGGCTAGTGAATTCTGTTCTCAATTTACCCTATTGGCAAATGGATTTTTTTTAGGAAATTCACATTACAGGAAAACTGTAATCAATCCTGCTCATGAAAATTTTTTTCGGGTTAATTAAAATGGCTCTTGGGCTGGTACAATGTACATGCTAGTTGCAGCTTGCACGTATGGCAAGCAATGCAAAACTGACTTTCTTTGCACCCTGTTTACTCCACGAGTTAATGACATAATCTCGTGATGTATGAATGCACTGAGGCTCTTGTTTGTTAGTCTGTGGATGAAAGTCTTGGTGTTATCTTCTAAATTCTCTTTGATGGAACCTCTGCAAGATTTTTTTTTTAATAATAATATTTTTCTGGAGCTCTCAGTTTTTCATTTTTATAACTCCAGTGTTATTCTGCTGGTGTATCTCCTATGGTATCTTGTGATCAGTACTTGAACTGTTGTAACAAAATTGTTGTAGAATTTAGTGGTATCCAGATCATTGATTATAGTGGATAACTGATAAAAAAACCTCCAGTAACTGGATATTGACGAGGCCTTATACACCTACTGGTGCGATGAGACATGATGATGATGATGAACTGGATATTGATCGTGGAAAATGTTCACATGAATATCCACCCAAAATAAAAATAAAATTTATAGTTGACAAATCATGTCTTTTAGAATATTAAAACCTGGGCGCTGTATTTTTAATGTCTCATACAGTGATGCAGCTTTAATGCATTGATGACCCTTTTCTGATACCTTTCATACACGTATGTTTTTGTCATGTTCCTGGAAATAATGTGCATCAATGGCCCTGCTTAACTCTCTTTAGGTTTGTAAGGGTAAGTTTGTTCACATTCAATTGTACACATTGTGTTAAGATGGGTAAAAGAAACATGTAGGTAATTATGATTTAAAACGAGCATTAAGTCCAATTGTAAGTACAGCCCAAAAATCTGGGTGTATAGAAAAACACTTTCTACATGACTGTCTTGTTCATGTACCCTTCAAAATTAATAATTTATGCCTTCCTTGTCTTTATTTCAGAGTCCATGCAAACACTCTCTCTGTTTAACATGCGCAGAAAAGGGAAATGGAAAATGCCCAAGGTACAAGTAGATTTAAAATAGATTTCATCATTTTTGTTACCTCAGTGCAACTTGGTCTGCCAAAAAATAATGTTTACACTGGGCTGTACATTCAATGCTATGTCACTAGAAACGTGGTTGCTTTTGTTTGTACGTAATTTTTACTACAACTTGTTTAATCAAGACCAGGCACTTTGGAGTTCTCAAAAACTCGTTTGATTGGGTTTTTGAGGTCCAGAACCAAGTACATGCAATGTTACGCCAAGTGTGGATGACCTTGGTTGTTCATGTTATTTTGACTTTAACTTGCTTAAGCACAAGGCACTTCAGAGTTCTTAAAAACGTGTTCCAAAGGGTTTGTAAGTTCTAGAACTAATATTACTTTCAATGCTATGCCACTAGAAGTGTGGTTGACTTTGGTTGTTCGTGTAATTTTGACTAAACTTGCTTAATAATCACAAGGCACTTTGGAGTTCTTTTAAACTTGTTCCAAAGGGTTTGCGAGTTCTAGAACCAATAATAACTGGAATTTGGAAGTGTAAGATCGTTACCAGGACTTGAATTTTGGCCACATGACAAAAAAAAATCTCAAAATTCAAATGATGAAAAAGAGACGAAAATCAAAGTTTTGATTGACGTACTGACGAGCCATGCACCTAAGTTGCTGAAAGTTGCCTTTCATGGTCCCAGAGTTGTTGATACCAAGATCCAGCCTATAAGTACGTGCAGTCTCCCACCTCCCTGTTTTTGTCTTGTCACACAACGCTCCTCCCTCCTCTCCTTTCCCCTCCCTTTTGTGGGGAGTAGTGTTGCGTGACGTGACAAAAACGGTTGCTTGAGAGACTAGTTTACAATATATAACGGGAATAATATCCAAAATGGCAATATTTCGAAAAATTGCCCTTCATCAGGGTCTCTGAAGTCATGTAAATTTTACTTTAGGTGTGGGGAAAGTGTTCAGAGGATTGAGTGAGCAGCGCTGGGCAGTGTGTATGTATACCCCCTTGTATAGCAATTCCAAATAATCAAAAATGATGATTTTTCCCTGTCTTGTTATGCAATGTCTTTAGGTCTCATTATGTTTGGAGGGAAGTTTTTGACAAGTTTTTTCCCAGAAGCTGGGGTTCAAGAACGAATGAAAGAACATGGGAAAGATCCATTGTGGAAAATCAAGTATGAACAACATTTTATGAATTTAAGAATTTGCTCGATTAAGAGTCAAAGTGATGTTCACGTATAAATTCATTTGGTTAATAAGACCAAGTATAAAAATAATTTTAGACATAAAGAGTTTGTATTTTCAGGTATGCTTCTAATGGAAGTACACTATTTTCTGCCTGGAGTTGTTTGCAAGTAAGTCATACTCTGTGGTAATTGACGTGCATTAAGTGATCTCTTGACTAGCCATTAACAATATTAATTTTCAACTTTTCTCAAATCAACAGATGTTGGTTACTGTTAAACCTCTAAAAAGTAGCCCCTATTTTGTGGCCACCCTCTTTTTAGCCAGGACTACTAAAAATATCAGTAAATCATTGAAAATAGAACATCTGTAATATACATCTATCACCCGAAGGGGAGGTAAAATAATAGTGGTGGATTTAGCAAGACGCGAAGTATCGAGGTATATATCAAGCGCTATGAACCGACTCTGAGGGGGTAGTTGTATTAGACTAGTATTTACCAAATCAGTTGAATAAAACTGAAAAAAGTGACTTTTTGTAAATTAAAAACGTCACTTAGTAGCAACTTTGTTTTCAATTTACAAACATTTCAGGGATTTTGTCAAGTGCGTTTTACGATTTTGTGGCAAATTCCCCTACTTTTCCCTTCCTCCCTATCCCCTACCCCTTTCGACGCCTGTTATGCAGGCTATTACAGTCCCTCTATTGTTCTCGTCTCCTCCCAAACCGCCCCCGCCACCTAAGTTGTTTTGACACTCATGCAAGATGGCAGCTCGTAACGCAAAGCGCTCGATCTCGACGATCTTACTGAAAAATAGAGGACTGTGAACAGTCTAGGCCAATCGTGAGGCGCATAAGAAACTCGGAAGAAATCCGCCTATCAGAAACGCTCACATATGTCCTTGCAATTCTGCAGGATATTTGAACGAGTTTTTGTTCACTAATTCGCGGATGGACTATACAAATGGTTTATAAGACGAGTGCGTGAACCGGCTGCAACACAGACTGCTTCCCGGCTACCGGGCATGTAGCTCGGGCATGTAGCCACAACGTATTATAATTTGACCCCTCATTATCCAGAATTTCAGACGATTGCTTCGAGTCGTTTTTACTCCCTCAGCTGAAGGAGTAAAAACTACTCGAAGTAATCGTGTAAAATTCAGGCTAACCCCTCATAATGCTTTATTATTTTCCAATTTTTTATGGATGGCTGCATTTCGGGAGCTATTTCTCGAAGCACTAAAGTCACTTTTGTTGACGTAATTTGATCAAAATGGAACTAAATGCTAAAGGAAGGGAAAAATCCCATAGGTTTAATTTCTTCTTGGTAGAAGGGTTGATTGTTGCTTATAGGTACGTTTTGTGCAAGTCTGGTTATTATGTGAAGGAAAATGCAATTGACTTTTATACTCACTTGCTTTGCAAAATATGATCTCCTCGTAGACTTTTTCGTCGTGACAAATCAAGCGAACTATCAAGACTGCTCGGGAATTTATAACTGAGGTAGGTATTGTATTAGCTGAAGCTATACTCGAACTACACGGTTCCTTTAACTTAGAACGGCATTTGGTCATTTATCTCGCGGAAACTTTTGTCAAAGTATTCTATCTTCATTTAGAATAACCAAGCGATCAGGAAAACACAACTCGCTTCGCAGCTGAGCGATTGTGGTTTCTTGGGTATAGAGTACAGTCGACGCTGTCAGACACTGTTTCGACAATTAGGCCTAGGAATAATTTCGTGAGTAGCAGCGCGTCAGTGATAATAAGCATTTTTTCTCTTTCCCAAATTTATTTCGTTTCGCAGAATAGAATAAGCCGGGCGTTACTCACGGGCACGATTTGAAAGAAGCTAAATACCCACCAGTCTCAAAGCGAACCTAGAAAGTGAAAACGCCTTCTCTTAAGCTCCAGAATACGTGCATATTAGCCATTATGCTCAGATTTTCGAGCATAATAATTATGTCTAACCCTAATTTACAGCGTCGAAACTACGCTATGCCCGAGAAACCACAACCCCTCATCTGCGAAGCCATTCTTGTTTTCCTTATCGCTTGGTAATTCTAAATAAAGATGGAATACTTTCAGACGATTAGAAAGTACTATAAAAAGGGATTTTGCAGAAATTCTAGAAAATTTTCAGACTGCCGGGCATGCATAGTTTTTTTTAAGACCCTTCCCGGGTGCCGAGCATATAGCCACAGCGTATTAATAACTGTATGTATTTGATTTAATTTGACCACTCTTCAGCCTGAATTTCAGACGATTGCTTCGAGTCGAAGTAATCGTCAAGAAATTCGGGCTAACCCCTTGCTTTTATTCATGGATGGCTGCATTTCGGAAGCTATTTCTGGAAGCACTTACGTCACTTTTGTTGAAACTGAAAGCTAAAGGAAGGGAAAAATCCCATAGGTTTAATTTCTTCTTGGTAGAAGGGTTGATTGTTGCCTATAGGTAAGTTTTGTGCAAGTCCGGTTATTTTGTGAAGGAAAATACAATTGACTTTTATACTGACTTGCTTTGCAATATATGTTTTCCTCGTAGACTTTTTCGTCGTGACAAATCAAGTGAACTATCAAGACTAATCGAGAATTTATAACTGAGGTAGGCATTACAGTAGCTGAAGCTATACTCGAACTACACGGTTCCTTTATCTTAGAACGGCATTTTTCATTTATCTCGAGGAAACTTTTGTCAAAGTATTCTATCTTCATTTAGAATAACCAAGCGATCAGGAAAACAAAACTCGCTTCGCAGCTGACCTGTTGTGGTTTCTTGGGTATTCTCGGTTTTCACTGACTCACGTGAGAACGCAGAAATAAAAATGGAAACCTTTTAATACAGAAAGTCTAGAATCTGGGAAATGAGAGAAGATAAATANCGTCACTTTTGTTGAAACTGAAAGCTAAAGGAAGGGAAAAATCCCATAGGTTTAATTTCTTCTTGGTAGAAGGGTTGATTGTTGCCTATAGGTAAGTTTTGTGCAAGTCCGGTTATTTTGTGAAGGAAAATACAATTGACTTTTATACTGACTTGCTTTGCAATATATGTTTTCCTCGTAGACTTTTTCGTCGTGACAAATCAAGTGAACTATCAAGACTAATCGAGAATTTATAACTGAGGTAGGCATTACAGTAGCTGAAGCTATACTCGAACTACACGGTTCCTTTATCTTAGAACGGCATTTTTCATTTATCTCGAGGAAACTTTTGTCAAAGTATTCTATCTTCATTTAGAATAACCAAGCGATCAGGAAAACAAAACTCGCTTCGCAGCTGACCTGTTGTGGTTTCTTGGGTATTCTCGGTTTTCACTGACTCACGTGAGAACGCAGAAATAAAAATGGAAACCTTTTAATACAGAAAGTCTAGAATCTGGGAAATGAGAGAAGATAAATATACAAAACGCCTTGCCAAGAATCAGGTCTATGCAATAGTTCATATGCGAGATATTCGTAAAAACGTTTGACCCAAATTTATGAAGCTTTGTATGGAGACGCCATCATTGTTTGTGTCCCTTTCAGGGGCACAAATATGGCTGCCGGAAACCAATATAAACATCTGTTTTTGAGTTTTCCTACTTATTCGTGAATTCTTCGCTTGAAGAACTCATAAAGATTAAAGTAATATTCATTCTAAGACAAGGAATGTTTAGATAGCAAAATCTCCAAAAATCCGTAATGTTTTTAACCCATATAAGAGCTTTCCCGGCCGGCAGCTAAAAATGCCGCGTCACGCAAAAGCCTGGAAATTCAAGAGTCCCGTATCGAAAAACAAAGAACCAGTTTGAACCTAAAATTTTTTTTGTGTAAAGGTTTTAAGGTGCTCTAGTATCACATGAAAGTAGAAACTCAGATGAAGCGATAGTTTCTTAGTTTGAATTTTGGTGACGTCATGTGAAAACCAAGAATTCTTGGTGTGGGATGTGCCGCCCGGTTCTTTAAATCCTGACCCGATTTCAGACCAAAATGGGCAAAGTGTGTACCCATTTTCAGACCAAAACGACGCAAAAACCCTAGGGTCTGCCGAATTATGCTCGAAAAATAGAGTATTTTGCTTTTGGGCGTCACCCGTGAAACTAGGGTATTATGCTCAAAATTATGCTCGACTGGAGGTATTATGCTCAAATTATGCCGGACTAAAATGACACTTTCAATGGAATCAAACCACTATGAGATGACGCGGCGTTACCAAAGCTTATCATTTTCTTTAAATATTAGCGAATGGTGTGGCTAGCATGCTCTTTCACTGTTTTTATGATTCTTAAAACTGCTTTTCAAAATATTTCGAAAACGCTCTCATGGAATTTGTTCAAACTTTGCCATAATTGAGGCAATTATGGCAGGTACATTGCCTAGTCCCTAGGCCTCATTATAATGCGCGGCCGATGCGTTTTGGGTCACGTGGTCCGAGAAAGTTTTTGAGGGCGTCTCCCGGCCGTTCATCTCGCATACGTCACCGAAATGCATTGACCGAGAGGGCCTGAAAAAACGCCGTACAGGGACTAGGCAAGCAGGTACATACCCCCTTAAGCGATTTCTTCAAAAAACTCCTGGTACAGCGAAACACAAAGATAAATAAAAAACGTAATGGCGTCATTACGTTGCCATAGCGACTCCGATTGCAATAAAACCCAGATCATAAGAAATTTTCATCTTTATAGAGTACAGTTGTGGTAACCTTTTTCCCATATCTTTACTCATGCCGACGTAGTTAGCGCTCAAACTTGGGAGGTATCCCCCTAAAAAAATCCAGTCGAGCCACCTTAATTTGACCCCTCTTTAGCCTGAATTTCAGACGATTCGTTTTTACTCCGTCATCTGAGGGAGTAAAAGGTAAAAACGACTCGAAGTGATCGTCTGAAATTCAGGCTAACCCCTCATATGCTCTTAAAGGAAGGGAAAAATCCCACAGGTTTAATTAGGGTTGATTGTTGCTTATAGGTAAGTTTTGTGCAAGTCCGGTTATTTTGTGAGAAAAATGCAATTGACTTTTATACTGACGTGCTTTGCAAAATATCATTTTCTCGTAGACTTTTTCGTCGGGACAAATCAAGCGAACTATCAAGACTACTCGCGCGGGAATTTATAACTGAGGTAGGCATCTGAAGCTATACTCGAACTACACGGTTTCTTTAACTTAGAACGGCATTTGGTCATTTATATCGCGGAAACGTTTGTCAAAGTATTCTATCTTCATTTAGAATAACCAAGCGATTAGGAAAACAAAACTCGCTTCGCAGCTGAGCGATTGTGATTTCTTGGATATAGAGTACAGTCGTCAGACGCTGTTTCGACAATTAGCCTAGGAATAATTTCGTGAGTAGCAGCGCGTCAGTGATAATAAGCATTTTTTCTCTTTCCCCAATATATTTCGTTTCGCAGAATAGAATAAGCCGGGCGTTACTCACGGGCACGATTTCAAAGAAGCTAAATACCCACCAGTCTCAAAGCGAACCTAGAAAGTGAAAACGCCTTCTCTTAAGGTCCAGAATACATGCATATTAGCCATTATGCTCAAATTTTCGAGTATAATAATTATATCTAATCCTAATTTACAGCGTCGAATCTACTCTATGCCCGAGAAACCACAACCCCTCATCTGCGAAGCCATTCTTGTTTTCCTGATCGCTTGGTAATTCTAAACGAAGGTGGAATACTTTCAGATGATTAGAAAGTACTAGAAAGAGAGATTTTGCAGAAATTCTTGAAAATTTTCAGACTGCCGGACATTCATAGTTTTTTTAAGACCCTTCCCGGCTACCAGGCATATAGCCACAGCGTATTATATAACTGTATGTATTTGACTTAATTTGACCAATCTTAAGCCTGCATTTCAGACGATTGCTTCGAGTCGAAGGAATCGTCAAGAAATTCGGGCTAACCCCTTACTTTTATTCATGGATGGCTGCATTTCGGGAGCAATTTCTGGAAGCACTTACGTCACTTTTGTTGAAACTGAAAGCTAAAGGAAGGGAAAAATCCCATAGGTTTAATTTCTTCTTGGTAGAAGGGTTGATTGTTGCCTATAGGTAAGTTTTGTGCAAGTCCGGTTATTTTGTGAAGGAAAATGCAATTGACTTTTATACTGACTTGCTTTGCAATATATGTTTTCCTCGTAGACTTTTTCGTCGTGACAAATCAAGCGAACTATCAAGACTAATCGAGAATTTATAACTGAGGTAGGCATTGCATTAGCTGAAGCTGAGTTTGACTAATAGTCGCGGGTCGCGAGTCGCGGGTCCAAAGTCGCGGTCGCGGGTCCAATGCCGCGGTCGCGGGTCCAAAGTCGCGGTCGCGGGTCCATTGTCGCGGTCGCGGGTCCAATGTCGCGGTAGGGGAAAATGATTTGGGGTTCGAGGTAACAGCTGAGTGAAAACGACTGATATGAACACAATATAAAGGGAGAAAATCTTTTTTATGCACGATACTCTACGGTAGCCAATTTACAGGTTACGGATGTCAGAGTCAACAAAATAATGTCTTAAGAAAAGACCTAAAAGAAAAAGCTGGCCGACTTTTGTGTTCACCGCAAGTTTATTTTGTTTTTCTTTCTATCGGGCCCAGTTATGTATAAATTCAGCTTTGAATATACTTATGCATAACAGTATCTGATAAAAAAAAGTTACCATAAGTTACCATTGCTTTCTTCTTGTCGATGAATTGCTCACAAATGCTTAGGGGTTCATTTACTGAAAAATATGCGATACACTTCATAGACTACAGATTATAAACGTTACAACAGCTTAAAGCGTTTTTTAAAAAAAGCGAACTCGGGCTCAAAAAGCTCCGGGTCTGTCGGTAGAAGAAACGAGAACTCTTATATTTAACAAATGTTTTCGACAAAACTGAAAGAAAATGTAAATAGGCGCATGAAACTTCATTCAAACGGTATTCAAGGCATGAATTTAATATGGAGCAAGTAATAATCCACAGAAAGGAGTCTGTTCTTGGAAGCAAGATTTTCGCTTAATGCTTTTATTTTTACAACTGAGACGGCAACCCAGAGTGTTCAATATAACTTCTTGTTCTCTTCACCTAAATGACAACCAGGACAACCTGACAATAGGAAGCCATTCAAAGTGCGTCTCAGTCAAATCTTGAAAACATGCATCGTAAATAACTAAGTGAGTAAGTAGGTAAGGAAATAATAACGCCCGATATCATGAAGCTGAAAAAGAAAGTAAACCAGACGCTGAAAACGGTAAGTTATCAACTCCACCAGAGCTAAGAAAAGACAATAAATTAGGTAAGTAATTCCAGATTCCAGGTACTGGATTCAAGTCTTTGTCAGTAGAACCAAGAGACTATGGACGCGATCCATTCAACCAAAATTCCAACCGGTCCGACCGGGAAAAGTGGTCCACCTCAAAAGGTGGACCCGTTTTTTCGAAAAATTTCCGGTTGGACCGAACTGATCCATTGAGTTTTGGACCGAAATTTCCGGAAATTTTGGTTGAATGGATCGCGCCCTGTGATCTATTCTCTCTTGGTAGAACTTGGATTCCGGATTTCAATCGTTAGTGGGAACAAACTCCTATCTGTGGACAAGAGAGGATAAAGCTCGAGCTTTATCCCCTCTTTCTGTGGATTATTACTTGTTTCTATATTAAATTCATGCCTTGAATACCCACTTGAATGTACTTTACTGGCACTTCAAGCCCAACGTCTCTCCTCCTCTTTCCAGTTACTTGTGCAAAGAGTTTATTTTGGGAGTTTGCGACCAGGAAGTTTTTCAACAAGCGTTTTCTTTATTTTTGCCGAAAACATTTGTTAAAATTGAAACAGTTCTCGTTTCTTCTACCGACAGACTAGTAGCTTTTCGAGCCCGAGTTAGCCTTTTTTAAAAAAGGTTTTAAGTTGTTGTAACGTTTATAATTTATAGTCTATGAAGTGTATCGCACATTTTTCAGTGAATGCACCCCTAAGAATTTGTGAGCAATTCATAGACAAGAAGAAAACAATGGTAACTCATGGTAACATTTTTATCAGATACTGTTATGCATAAGTACATTCAAAGCTGAATTTATACATAACTGGGCCCGATAGAAAGAAAACAAAATGAACTTGCGGTGAACACAAAAGTCGGCCAGCTTTTTCTTTTAGGTCTTTTCTTGAGACATTATTTTGTTGACTCTAACATCCGTAACCTGTAAATTGGCTACCGTAGAGTATCATGCATAAAAACGATTTTTTGCCCTTTATATTTTTTTCATATCACTCGTTTTCACTCAAGTACCTCGAACTCCAATCATTTTCTCCTGCCGCGACATTGGACCCGCGACCTCGACTTTGGACCCGCGACCGCGACTTTGGACCCGCGACCGCGACATTGGACCCGCGACCGCGACTTTGGACCCGCGACCCGCGACCCGCGACCCGCGACCCGCGACTATTAGTCAAACTCGCTGAAGCTATACTCGAACTACACGGTTCCTTTATCTTAGAACGACATTTTTCATTTATCTCGAGGAAATTTTTGTCAAAGTATTCTATCTTCATTTAGAATAACCAAGCGATCAGGAAAGCAAAACTCGCTTCGCGTCTGAGCGGTTGTGGTTTCTTGGGTATGGAGTACAGTCGACGCTGTTTCGACAATTAGCCTGGGAATAATTTCGTGAGTAGCAGCGCGTCAGTGATAATAAGCATTTTTTCTCTTTCCCTAATATATTTCGTTTCGCAGAATAGAATAAGCCGGGCGTTACTCACGGGCACGATTTCAAAGAAGCTAAATACCCACCGGTCTCAAAGCGAACCTAGAAAGTGAAAACGCCTTCTCTTAATGCTCCAGAATACATGCATATTAGCCATTATGCTCAAATTTTCGAGTATAATAATTATATCTAACCCTAATTTACAGCGTCGAATCTACTCTATGCCCGAGAAACCACAACCCCTCATCTGCGAAGCCATTCTTGTTTTCCTGATCGCTTGGTAATTCTAAATGAAGGTGGAATACTTTCAGACGATTAGAAAGTACTAGAAAAAGGGATTTTGCAGAAATTCTTGAAAATTTTCTGACTGCCGGGCATTCATAGTTTTTTAAGACCCTTCCCGGGTGCCGAGCATATAGCCACAGCGCATTAATAATTGTACGTATTTGATATAATTTGACCACTCTTTAGCTTGAATTTCAGACGATTGCTTCGAGTCGAAGTAATCGTCAAGAAATTCGGGCTAACCCCTTGCTTTTATTCATGGATGGCTGCATTTCGGGAGTAATTTCTGGAAGCACTTACGTCACTTTTGTTGAAACTGAAAACTAAAGGAAGGGAAAAATCCCATAGGTTTAATTTCTTCTTGGTAGAAGGGTTGATTGTTGCTTATAGGTAAGTTTTGTGCAAGTCAGGTTATTTTGTTAAGGGAAATGCAATTGACTTTTTTATACTGACTTGCTTTGCAAAATATGTTTTCCTCGTAGACTTTTTCGTCGTGACAAATCAAGCGAACTATCAAGACTAATCGAGAATTTATAACTGAGGTAGGCATTGCATTAGCTGAAGCTATACTCGAACTACACGGTTCCTTTATCTTAGAACGGCATTTGGTCATTTATCTCGAGGAAACTTTTGTCAAAGTATTTTATCTTTATTTAGAATAACCAAGCGATCAGGAAAACAAAACTCGCTTCGCAGCTGAGCGATTGTGGTTTCTTGGGTATAGAGTAGAGTCGACGCTGTCAGACGCTGTTTCGACAGTTAGCCTAGGAATAATTTCGTGAGTCGCAGCGCGTGATAATAAGAATTTTTTCTCTTTCCCCAATATATCCCGTTTCGTTTCGCAGAATAGAATAAGCCGGGCGTTACTCACGGGCACGATTTCAGACAAGCTAAATACCCGCCAGTCTCAAAGCGAACCTAGAAAGTGAAAACGCCTTCTCTTAAGCTGCAGAATACATACATATTAGCCATTATGCTCAAATTTTCGAGCATAATAATTATATCTAACCCTAATTTACAGCGTCGAAACTACTCTATGCCCGAGAAACCACAACCCCTCATCTGCGAAGCCATTCTTGTTTTCCTGATCGCTTGGTAATTCTAAATGAAGATGGAATACTTTCAGATGATTAGAAAGTACTAGAAAAAGGGATTTTGCAGAAATTCTTGAAAATTTTCTGACTACCGGACATTTATAGTTATTTTTTAAGACCCTTCCCGGGTGCCAAGCATATAGCCACAACGTATTAAGCCTGAATTTCAGACGGTTGCTTCGAGTCAAAGTAATCGTCAAGAAATTCGGGGTAACCCCCTGCTTTTATTCATGGATGGTTGCATTTCGGGAGCTATATTTCTGGAAGCACTTACGACACTTTTGTTGAAACTGAAAGCTAATAAAGGAAGGGAAAAATCCCATAGGTTTAATTTCTTCTTGGTAGAAGGGTTGATTGTTGCTTATAGGTAAGTTTTGTGCAAGTCCGGTTATTTTGTGAAGGAAAATGCAAGTGACTTTTATACAGACTTGTTTTACAAAATATGTTTTCCTCGTAGACATTTTCGTCGTGACAAATCAAGCGAACTATCAAGACTACTGGGGAATTTATAACTGAGGTAGGCATTGCATTAGCTGAAGTTATACTAGAACTCCTCGGTTCCTTTACCTTAGAACGGCGCGCATTTCGTTATTTATCTCGCAGAAACTTTTGTCAAAGCATGTCTCTGTTTAAAAGGCCTTGTTGTATATGATCTTTCAGTTCGCGGGGGACTTTTTCCCATCCCATCATGTAGGATTTCCTCTCAGCCCTTTCACTGATTTATTATGCATACATGGTTATCATTCCACTCTGTATAAAGTTGAACCTGAACTTGAACTTGTTTTGCAAAATATGTTTTTCTCGTAGACTTTCCGTCGTGACAAATCAAGCGAACTATCAAGACTACATGTACTCGGAAATTTATAACTGAGGTAGGCATTACTAGAACTCCACTGTTTCTAGTTACCTTAGAACGGCATTTGGTCATTTATATCGCGGAAACGTTTGTTAAAGTGTGTCTCTGTTTAGTAAGGCCGTGTTGTATATGATTTTTCAGTTCCAGGGGTCTTTTTCAGCGATAGAGCCCATCATGAAGGATTTCATCTCAGCCCTTTCACTGATTTATTATGCATACATGGTTATCATCCCACTCTGTAAACAGTTGAACCTCTATTAAGTAGTCACCTATTAAGTGGTCATCCTCCATTAAGCGGCCAGTAATCAAAGTTCCGAAATATTTGTAGAAAAGAATGAGAAAGTAAACCTGCTGATTTCATTGCTACCCGGATTGACGGTCATGAGATTTGACACTAATCACGTGACGTATGGCTTCGCAGCACGTAAACAGTTGCAAAAATTGTAGCAGGCGAGAGTTCTGTCGTGGGATCCGAAACAGTGAGAGAAACATCTGGCTGGCAAGGAAAGCTTATCACGGAATTACAGACGATTGCTTCGAGTCGTTTTTACTCCCTCAGGCTAATCCCTAATATGCTTTATTATTTTCAATTTTTCATTGGATGGCTGCATTTCGAGAGCTATTTGTGGTAGCACTTACGTCACTTTTGTTGGCGTAATTAGATCAAAATGAAAGTGAAAGCTAAAGAAAGGGAAAAATCACATAGGTTTAATTTGTTCTTGCTAGAAGGGTTGATTGTTGCTTAAGGTAAGTTTTGTGCAAGTTCAGTTATTATGTGAAGGAAAATGCAATCGACTTTTATACTGAATTGTTTTGTAAAATATGACTTTTCCGTACGCTTTTTCGTGGTGACAAATTGAAGCGAACTATCAAGACTACTCGGGAATTTATAACTGAGGTAGGCATTGTATTAGCTGAAATTATACTAGAACTCCACGGTTCCTTACCTTAGAACGGCATTTGGTCATTTTTCTCGCGGAAACTTTTGTCAAAGCATGTCTCTTTTTAATAACCCGCCAGTTGTCTATGATCTTTCAGTTCGCAGGGGACTGTAGGATTTCATCTCAGCCCTTTCACTGATTTATTATGCATACATGTCCGTACTCATAGTAGTCTGCTACACAGCCGTTTTTAGGGTCTGCGTTGCGTGACGACATAAAAAAAGGGCTGTGCAGAAGAGTCATATTTATCATTTGTGTTAAATTATAAGGGTTAGCTGTATACAGGAATCTTTCTAAACCGGCTCATCCTCGGACGGGTGTATTTGAGAAGAACTTGCAGTCTTCCTAAGTGACATGACACAAAGAAATTCAAAGACGTCAACGTAACAGAGCTATACTAGCTAAGGAAAATAGGAAGTAAAAAAATAAAAACTCCCCAGGTTTTTACACGTTATACCGAGTTGTTCTCCATGCGCCTTCCTTTGCGCACACGAGGAAAGTTGATGTTAGCGAATTTCAAGTAAAAAATTAGGTTCAGTCTGAGACTCCGACATCGAAAACCACAAATGAAAGGCTTCTGGCGGGAACAATCTACATTAGGTTTCTTATCTACCTGAAAGCTATCTATGGACAAACCTCATTCGCACTCTTGAGATCTGCGTTGGTTTGTCTTCGAGGCTCTAGGACAAGAAGAGTGCCATGTGACATTAAGAATGTTGATATCGACGTCGAAGTTGTTGAAGGAGCCATTAAATCGGACTATTGATGTGTTTCCTTACTTCATATATATCTCTTTATTTCATTATTATTATTACTATTTTTCTGTTTTTAGCAGTTGAAAGAAACTTTTGAATTTTAGAGGTTGACAGTTTTTTTTATTGAAATTAAATGTTTTTTAATTCGAATAAATTTTTCTTAGTTAATTAACTTTAAGTGCTTTTTAAATCGACAGGAATTGTNGAGTGCCATGTGACATTAAGAATGTTGATATCGACGTCGAAGTTGTTGAAGGAGCCATTAAATCGGACTATTGATGTGTTTCCTTACTTCATATATATCTTTTTATTTCATTATTATTATTACTATTTTTCTGTTTTTAGCAGTTGAAAGAAACTTTTGAATTTTAGAGGTTGACAGTTTTTTTTATTGAAATTAAATGTTTTTTAATTCGAATAAATTTTTCTTAGTTAATTAACTTTAAGTGCTTTTTAAATCGACAGGAATTGTAAATAGTGTTTTTGAATGAATAGTTTTTTCTTTTTTTAAGCGAATTAATTGTAAATAGGATTTTATAAATTATTAATAAAGTGTTCCTTTTTGATATAAAAAAAATAAATAAAAATAAAAATCTATGGACAAATTTATTCATTAACTCCTGCCACGAAATTAATATTGTTCTCGATTTTTCCTGACCATTGCTCTTGCTCTTTACCATAATTATAATTTTCTGAAATTCCACAAGCTTAAAATAACTGGTGGTATAGACATATATATTCTTTTCATTTGCTGTACATTTGTATTCCGCTAGCAAGAGATTTTAAACCTTAGAAATTCACTTTCCGAAATTTGACTTTTCTGAATATTCCTAATGGCCCGATTTGTAGTTTGTTGCCAAAAGCTTTAGTATTTTCAGTGGTGGGTAGATGAATGTACAACGACTAGATAGATAATATACACCATAATTATTTAAACAATGGTAAATCTGATTTCTTTTCCCTTCGATCACTAATCACCCAAAAGAATGTCTTTTTCCTTTTTTAGGAGAAGATGCCAGTTTAGCAAGTCACCGTTACACAACGATAAAAAACAAGTAGAACGATCACTATTTGTGGCAAACCAAATGCGACGGTGATAGAAAAGAACGAATAATAAAAGAGCTAATAAATAAGCTTTTACTCAATGTTTTAATTTTACTTTTCATTTTCGTTATCGCACGTTATCTTACATAAAGAGAAATGGTATCAACGAAAAAAAAACCACAACATAACTACATTTTTTTTTTCTAGAAGAGCTGAAATAGCAAAGCAAGCAAAAAAAGGGGCAATTAAAACTATCTTCGGGAAAAGCAGTACGTAGATTTTATCTGCAATTTGTTATTGGAATGGCTGCGAAAGGACAAACAGAGGCCACCTGTAATCTTGGAAATACTAACAAGAATGCCGATGAAGTTGGGGAGAGGACAGAGAAAGAAAAAGGGAATAGTACTATTGGCGACGCCAATATTAACTTTAAAGATTTCCAGAACTTTATAAACTACCTTGAAATATGCCTCAAATTTTTCAGACAAGTGGGCGACAGGGCAAGAGAAGGAAAAGCGTACGGTAATCTTGGCTGCGTCTATTACAGTCATGGAGACTTCCAGACAGCCATAAAGTACCATCAACTAGAGCTCAAAATTTCCAAAGAAGTGGGAGACAGGGCAGGAGAAGGAAATGCCTACTGTAATCTTGGCAACGCCTATTACAGTCTTGGAGATTTCCAGAAAGCCATAGAGTACCATGAACGAGACCTCAAAATTTCCAAAGAAGTGGGAGACAGGGCAGGAGAAGGAAGGGCGTACTGTAATCTTGGCAACGCCTATTACAGTCTTGGAGATTTCCAGAAAGCCATAGAGTACCATGAACGAGACCTCAAAATTTCCAAAGAAGTGGGAGACAGGGCAGGAGAAGGAAGAGCGTACTGTAATCTTGGCAACGCCTATTACAGTCTTGGAGATTTCCAGAAAGCCATAGAGTACCATGAACGACACCTCAAAATTTTCAAAGAAGTGGGAGACAGGGCAGGAGCAAGAAAAGCATACGGTAATCTTGGCAACGCCTATTACAGTCTTGGAGATTTCCGGAAAGCCATAGAGTACCATGAACGAGACCTCAAAATTTCCAAAGAAGTGGGAGACAGGGCAGGAGAAGGAAAAGCGTACGGTAATCTTGGCAACGCCTATGACATTCTTGGAGATTTCCAGAAAGCCATAGAGTACCATGAACGAGACCTCAAAATTTCCAAAAAAGTGGGAGACAGAGCAGGGGAAGGAAGAGCGTACTGTAATCTTGGCTGCGCCTATTACGGTCTCGGAGATTTCCAGAAAGCCATAGAGTACCATGAACGAAACCTCAGAATTTCTAAAGAAGTAGGAGACAAGGCAGGAGAAGGAAAAGCGTACGGTAATCTTGGAAACGCTTTTAGAAAACTTGGACGTTTCCAACAAGCCATAGAATACCATGAACGACACCTCAAAATTTCCAAAGAAGTGGGAGACAGGGCAGGAGAAGGAATTGCCTATGGTAATCTTGGCAACGTCTATAACCGTCTTGGAGATTTCCAGAAAGCTATAAAGTACCACGAACGACAACTCAAAAATTCTAAAGAAGTGGGAGACAGAGCAGGGGAAGGAAGAGCGTACGGTAATCTTGGAAACGACTATTACAGTCTTGGAGATTTCCAGACAGCCGTAGAGTGCCATGAACGACACCTCAAAATTTCCAAAGAAGTGGGAGACAGGGCAGGAGAAGGAATAGCGTACGGTAATCTTGGAAACGCTTTTACAAATCTTGGAGACTTCCAGAAAGCCATAAACTACCATGAACGACACCTCAAAATTTCCAAAGAAGTGGAAGACAGGGCCGGAGAAGGAATAGCGTACGGTAATCTTGGCAACGACTATGATAGTCTTGGAGATTTCCAGAAAGCCGTAGAGTACCATGAACGACACCTCAAAATTTCCAAAGAAATGGGAGACAGGACAGGAGAAGGAACAGCGTACGGTAATCTTGGAAACGCTTTTAGAAATCTCGGAGACTTCCAGAAAGTCATAGAGTACCATGAACGACACCTCAAAATTTCCAAAGAAGTGGGAGGCAGGGTAGAAGAAGGAAATGCCTACTGTAATCTTGGCAACGCCTATGACAGTCTTGGAGATTTCCAGAAAGCCATAGAGTACCATGAACGACACTTCAAAATTTCCAAAGAAGTGGGAGACAGGGCAGGAGAAGGAAAAGCGTACTGTAATCTTGGCTGCGCCTATTACGGTCTCGGAGATTTCCAGAAAGCCACAGAGTACCACGAACGAGACCTCAGAATTTCTAAAGAAGTAGGAGACAGGGCAGGAGAAGGAAAAGCGTACGGTAATCTTGGAAACGCTTTAAGAAAACTTGGACGTTTCCAACAAGCCATAGAATACCATGAACGACACCTCAAAATTTCCAAAGAAGTGGGAGACAGGGCAGGAGAAGGAAAAGCGTACGGTAATCTTGGCAACGCCTACGACAGTCTTGGAGATTTCCAGAAAGCCATAGAGTACCATAAACGGCACCTCAAAATTTCCAAAGAAGTGGGAGACAGGGCAGGAGAAGGAAAAGCGTACGGTAATGTTGGCAGCGCCTATGACGGTTTTGAAGATTTCCAGACAGCCGTTCAGTTTTATAAAGACAGTGTAATTGCCTTCGACTATATCAGGCGAAATCGGATATCTAATGACGATTGCAAGATTAATCTTGGGAGTACGTATGATTTTGTTAATTCGAGGCTATGGGGGCTGCAGTTTAAGCAAGGTAAAGTCGTCGAGGCACTTTTAACTGCTGATCATGGACGTGCCCAGGCTTTAAATGATCTTTTGGAGTTCAAGTATCGGTTTAAATGTTTGTCTCCAGAAATAGGAACATTCTTTGCAACAACACATGACATTCTTAGTTACCTACCATCAAATACAGCTTTTATAGGTATCAACGAGGAAGGAATAGTTATCTGGGTGAACGACAAAGGAAACGAAATCAAGACTAGAAGAACTCAGATCGATATCTCCGTCATAACCTATTTTCAGTCTCTACTGGAGTCTGTACATGAAGGAATAGGTGTGAGAGCTGATGTTAACTGTGAAGATCGCTCATTAAGGAACCCAAGCGATAAAAAGTTAGCAGAAGAAAGATCCAGTCAGCCAAGGTCGAATTCCTATTTTGAGAGAATCTTATTACAAACATTTTACAAAGTTGTTATGGACCCTATAAGAGACCTACTCCATAGCGATGAGGTTGTGATTGTTCCACAAGGACCTCTGTGTTTGGCCCCTTATGCTGCTTTCATGGACTTGGAATCAAAGTTCCTCTGCGAAACTTTTAGAATTCGCCTACTTCCCTCACTTTCTAGTCTGCGATTAATCCAAAACTGTCCATCAGATTGCCACAGCAAGACTGGAGCTCTTCTCGTCGGCGATCCGTGGGTACAGGAGGTAGTTTATGAAGGAATGACGCTAGAGCAGTTACCGTGGGCCGCAAAGGAAGTGCAGATGATTGGGGAAATACTTCAAACTGAACCTCTCGTTGGAAAGCAGGCAATAAAAGATGAAGTGTTAGAACGTATCTCCTCGGTTGCTCTGGTGCACATTGCTGCTCACGGTAAAATGGAAACAGGAGAAATTGCCTTGGCCCCAAACACAACACCTTCATCCGTGAATCCAACCAAGGAGGATTACCTCTTAACTATGAAAGATGTTTTAGAGGCGCAAATTAAGGCAAGACTTGTTGTACTTAGTTGTTGTCATAGTGCCCGGGGAGAAGTCAAATCTGAGGGTGTGGTTGGTATTGCACGGGCATTTTTGGGTGCTGGTGCTCGCTCTGTTCTGGTATCCCTGTGGGCGATCGACGACGAAGCTACTATGGAGTTCATGAAAGTTTTCTACCAACAACTAGTCCATGGACGAACTGCCAGTGAGGCTCTGAATAAAGCCATGAAATCCATGAGAGAATCTGACCGCTTTAACGCAGTGAAATACTGGGCTCCGTTTGTTCTCATTGGTGACGACGTAACGCTCGAGTTTGAGGGCATCCAGTAAATAGCAAGGTATTTTAGGATATATTTAAACCTGGGATAATATAACATGCTTTAGGAAACGTCGTTTTAACAAGGAATTATAGTTATTTATGTCGTTTTATTGAGCAACGGACTCAACCGGCGCCACGTAGCGTCAATCTGCCAATCATAGGTCAAGTTCACAAAAACACTNGGCGATCGACGACGAAGCTACTATGGAGTTCATGAAAGTTTTCTACCAACAACTAGTCCATGGACGAAGTGCCAGTGAGGCTCTGAATAAAGCCATGAAATCCATGAGAGAATCTGACCGCTTTAACGCAGTGAAATACTGGGCTCCGTTTGTTCTCATTGGTGACGACGTAACGCTCGAGTTTGAGGGCATCCAGTAAATAGCAAGGTATTTTAGGATATATTTAAACCTGGGATAATATAACATGCTTTAGGAAACGTCGTTTTAACAAGGAATTATAGTTATTTATGTCGTTTTATTGAGCAACGGACTCAACCGGCGCCACGTAGCGTCAATCTGCCAATCATAGGTCAAGTTCACAAAAACACTATAGCAGGCTGACTTTGGTAGTTCTTTTGGCAGTTAAACACTAGAAAATTTTATTTAAGCGAAGATTGTGATATCATTTCTCCATAAAGAACTAGAACCTAGAGTGAAAAAGCTTAGGGACATGAAGTTGGAGGTCATGATTAGCCGAGGATCAAAATCAAATCGAAACATCCAGCTCGTGAATACACGATACCGGATAATCAGTCCATATGAAGCATTACAATCGTGATAAATTAATACATCTATCATACGTCTATTATATATGAATTGGGAGAAGAGACTTGAAAGAGGGGAGGAGGTTAAATAATTTTCCTCTGAAAAGGGAAGCTTATTAGAGAGGAAGGCTTAATAAAGAATTTATTGTATGCAAGTTTCTTTAAATCTACAATAAGTCTAATCATTGGTTCAAGTTACGACTTTAAATGTGACCCTTGCTCTCATAGATTTAGGGCGTGTTTGATTCACCGTATTCCCTGTCTTAATTAAAAATAAATTAATCGAATAAACCCGCCAGAAATCGCTTGTTCTGTCTTTCATTCTACAAAACTGCTTGAAATAAAGTATTTTGGTCTATATAAACTTTAAATGGTTCAAAAATTACGGTATTCTTATTCCGGAGTACGATCAGTCGAGCGCACACTTAGAAGTCAGTGGTCAAAATGGTATGTCTCCCCAGGTGTAGTCACTATCCTTTCCTTTTGTTTGCTTGCTAACGTTGTTTTTTGCTGTTGTTGTTGTTGCTGTATAGGTTATGATGAAGAATGCATTGAAGCAGTTCCTAACCATCTGAAGTTGAAGTGAGTTTCAAATTTGTCACAATTACGAGGTGGAGCGTTCCTCGCAAGAATAGGAACACTTTATCCAGGAGAGAAAATTATATGCTGTTAATGTAATTAATTTGAAGCTTTGCGTAGTGTGAAAATTACGGTGCAGGGGCACCCAACGGCAATTTTCGGAGCATTTGTTGTAAAACTTCTTGCTTGCCTGCCTCTCCTAGGATTTTCGAACATCTACAAAATGGTATAATTACTCATTTTTAACGGATTTTTACCCTAAAAAAGGCCACCTAGAATTTTCGGGAGCCTTTTCCTGGCTGAAATTTTCGAGAAGGTAAGTTTTTATCCCTCTAATTTTCGGATCACTAGATTTTCAGCTAGCAAATCCGAACAGATCAAAAGTTTTTAGGGGATAAAAATATGCCTATATCTACCGTTTGAATACTAAAATACGTTCAACAATGCTATGTTAAGTGGTTTTGAACTATATCCTCGTTGGGTGCNTAGCAAATCCGAACAGATCAAAAGTTTTTAGGGGATAAAAATATGCCTATATCTACCGTTTGAATACTAAAATACGTTCAACAATGCTATGTTAAGTGGTTTTGAACTATATCCTCGTTGGGTGCCCCTGACGGTGTACGTTTCGTAGCTTATTTTGCGACCAGTCGTGTGCATTTGAAACTTGTTTTATAGTGCCCTTAAAAATATCAGGAATAAGTAGTGAATTTCGGCTATTTCCATTGATACCACATGGGACAGAGGCACTTATAAGACTAGCAATTTAATGTATTTACATTCGGCAGAGCTAAACGTAGTGGCAGTGACAGAGAATGTAAATACTTTCCTATTGGTATGAACGCACGTGAGCCGCTATGGCGTTAATTGACTCTATTGTTATCAGATATATAAGGTTTTAACAGTTGTAATGTATTCATCTCAGCTCTCGAACTATCAACTTTTATTTTTATATCTTACTTTATTTATCTATCGATTGATTTTTTACCTTTAACCCCCAGAGGTTGTGCGACCTCATCGGTTGGGGAACATGTTCCCAATTTTTTCCATTGTGGTTTTGGGTTTTGGTATCAGGCGGCGCACGTGAATAGTTTAGCCTGAGTGACTTTCTTTAGGAATATTTGTATACCATTCTTTAGTTATGATGTTGAACTTTGTATGTTATCAGTTTGGACGGTATTAAACACTCAGGCTCCACAGTTTGAGCTGCACATCCATTCCCGTCTCATAGTCGTGAATATAAATAGGAAATATAGTTCCTTTATATTATTTACACAGTTGTAGTTTTTAATTCTTTTGGCAGATTGGTTTAAGTTTATTAGTTTCTAGATTGGTATCCATTCTAATACTGAAGTCAAATTCCCTGTTCAGTCATTAGGTTAAATCACTAATAAGTGTAATTGTACATTTACTCGTCTTTTTGATAGGCGAAGGATTTCTATTTCAAAGCCCAGGCTTATTCGCGTTTCCGACTTTGTTTTTACCATCGAGTTTCCTGATTTCTCTTGTTGACACCTATTAGATACAAGAGGTTAAGCCGGAAAGAAAAAAGAAAGACAAATAGGGAAATAAAAATCCGTAATTGTTTGGTGCCTGGTCAAAACACTGAAATTTAAGAGTCCCTTGATCTCTGTTTTGAAGAAAACAAACTTTCCAAGTTTAAGTCAAGTCTACATGACTTCATTCAATTATACATCTTTACAGAGAATATGTTTTACACCTGACCTAGATTGTACCTATAAGAATTAACTTCTTCAAATAAATGTATCGTTTTGTTTATCTAAACTGGTGTCTATAGTAGTAAGTGTCAAAGCAATGATGTGGAACTTAATTGCAATGCTGACAAGGAACGTATCCCTTCTTGCGTAAGGTTATAAAACACTGGGTTACAAATGTGGTATATATACCTCACTGAAGAGGTGTCCTGATTGGCTGATCGAAATCTTGGTTAATAAGTTTTTTACACAAAAAGGAAAATTGAAGTAAATCATCAACTAGATAAAATAAAGAATTAAATAGGATTCCTCGTGAGACAATGTGGAAAGTTTCTATTGACACCACCTGTTGAATGTAGCAAGCGTAGCGAACATAGCAAAGGCAAGAAGTGTAGCAAGCAAACGTAGCACGTGAAGCAAGTATACCAAACGTACTGTAGCAAGCGCAGCAAGTGTATCATAGCAACTCTCAAGCGTAGCAAACGTTACAAGTGTAACAAGTGTAGCAAGAGTACGTAGAAAGCGTAGCAAGAGTAACGAGTGTAGCAAGCGCCGGTAGCAAGTGTAGCAAGCAAACTTTGCAAACGTAGCAAGCGTAGCAAGTGTACCAGACGAAGCAAACGTAGCAATTGCAGCAAGTGTAGCAAGCGTAGCAGGTGTAGCAAGATGAGCAAGCGTAGCAAGTAGCAAAGTAGGTGTAGCAATTGGACGGATTTAATAACAATCATCTCAGCTAATGATACTTCACTAGTAGGGCACAAGTGATTATGTAATATTGGTGAACATACTGGTAATTCGTTTGTTTTACGTTTTTGACTATAAGCGCGTGTTCTCAGTGAGACTTGTTAATGTTTGCGGCACTACATTACCCTCCTAACCTTCTTAGTGCCAAGCAGTGGTTGTTTACATAAAATACTCATACATGAGGTAAGACGTTACTGTTAAAGTAAGCAATGGATACCAGGGGGTTTTTCTCCCGCTGCTTCCGGCGTTTAAATCACGGATCTACGTTTATATCACAGGTCCGCATTTCTCGAAACTCCCGAAAGACTATTTTACGTGAACTTAGTTCATTAAAAGAAATCGGATTTCTAGCATTTTTATATATTTTTTGCGAAGCGCCGGCTATAAAATGGAGAAATAAGTTGGGATAGTTTGTCTAAAAAGCAAATCGCGATTGCTAGAAAACAAGCTTGAAAAATTATGTTTGGGCATGAAACGTTTCCGACAGTTTTCAGAGACGTACACCAGGTAAAGCAAAATCATGTGGTTTTCATATTGTCTCATTCCGTTACTGCGACTTCACCTATTAAGCGTCAGAAGCTCTAGAAATGCGCTGGTGTCCGGTTAATAGAGGTTTGGCTGTATCTTTATCTACCTGTTATAAATAATTCAGCCTCCAGCAAATATGAGAGCAGCACAAACCACTTGCAATTTTTATGAGGTAGTTGCCTTTAGTTTTGTTTTTCAGTTTTGCTATTTTGAAGATTTTGCTAGCTTCGTCATAAACAGTTTATAGACTTCTATAGACTTAGGGACTCAGAGATTCAGTGTATTTCCCCACATGGTTAGTTCCTGAGTTTTTTGTCTAGTATTATCGATTTGAAGCGTTTGTTAAGCTTATAGTTTCGTTTCTTTGAAGTACTGGCTTGTTTAGGGAGTACAGCTGACCTTGAGTTTTACCCACAATCGAGTTCCTGTTTTGTATGTTTTGTCCTTCTGGGCAGTTTCACTGTTAGCATTTATTCTGGTTCTTTGATACTTGTCGGTTGCGGCTGTGTAGGCTTATCTAACTATAGCAAACCTGTTGCAATGTAGGCGATAAGATATTCAATAGAAACTCTTCCGGTCAGCCAACCCAAAATAAGTCTACAATTTGGTTATTGAATTCGCTGTGTAAGCTAGTAGAATTTGTAGAGTTGTTTTCAGTAGCTGTTGAAGATTAAACTGCTATCTTAAAGAGAAAGAACAGAGTCTTGGTCCTCTTGTTTCAAAGCCTAGCGAGCTTCACAAGCCCTCAACACAATCTTTGCATGATTAAAATGGGCAACCACCCTCAGTTCCAGAATATTTTTTGTCCCGTGAAATATTTGACATATATTCCTTGAAAATCAGTACGTTACCCGTCTTTATGCCCTTTTGAGGTTCGTAGTTAATTAATTTCTAAGGGGTACAAAGGAAGTTTGACAATGAATAAGGGAATGACGTTCCTACCCTTAAAATGAACTATACCGTAAAAGATCCATTAAAAGCCTGGGGTGTGTGTTAATTTATTTTAAGTTTTGAGAGGGACCTCTTTTATGTCAAGAGTCAATAATAGGGTAGACTACGAGAAGTCCCCATTTTCCCTCAGAGACTAAAGCGAACGAAATGCGAGCGCACGTGAAAATCTCCCCACCCGAGGAAAGGCGAGACCCAGTGGTAGAGAGCGTGGAGTGAGTTTCACGCGCGGTCGCGTTTCGCTCGCTCTAGTATCCCTGAGGAAAAATGGGGACTACTCATAGTCTAATAATAGGGAGGCGTTTAAAGAGATTTGTGTCTTAGTAAATGGATGTGCCCAATTCTTTTCTTTTTGATTTCGTCCTCGATGTCAATGTCGATATTTTAAAAACGGTTATAAACTTCCATAGAGAGCTGAGATTTATGCCCTTCTGCCTGATCTTGGCTGGGATAAAACGATTTCAGCAAAAATAATTAATAAAAAAAAAACTCTTTTCAAAGGCGTTACCCCTATTCTGTGTATGATTGAACTAGATATGGTGCGTGCTTACGGTTGGCTAGAGACTATTAGTAAGGGCTTATAATCAGAAACTGCGCTTTTATTGGATTGTTCGCGCTGGTGACTCATTTAACTTGAAGTTTACTCTGATGACCAAACGATTATTTTAAACTTGAAAGGAATTCTGCTGCCTCATACAGAAACGTCTTTTAGACTATTTTTCTGCTAAAATCCTTTTCATATCAGTTTTCCTCTTAGATATAACATTTACTGTTCATTTATGTGGAGAAGGTAGGCGGCAATTTTATTTTGAGCCACTTTTGACGGAAAAAAAACGTATGACATAGCTCCTCTGACATTTGATGTCAGAGAGAATTTATCATTCAGGCACTGCATGTAACAAGAAAGCGTCAAAGCATTCTAACCCAAATTTAGCCTGAAGTGTTAGCCGCTTTCTCGCCCGACACATTACGCTAGTTAACCTTAAAATCAAATGTTTTCAAGAGTTTTGAGAAACGCACGCTTGCAAAGTTGTAGGGAGCTCTGCGGTAAGGAACGTCATGGAATTTATTTCTGGTCAATTTAGACTTAGACTCTTAGCCGTGGACGTAACGAAACTTTAACTTGTGTCAAGACTCATGGGTCATTGATATATCAAACTTTCACCATCTTCATCTTTCAGATGGGGTTATTATTATTTCCTTTGTAACATTTTCTGTTTTACCATGCGAGTTTTTGACGGGTCTGTTTGAGGGAGTTGTGACTCATGTGTTAGCTTCTCTGCGGTCAGCGTTTTATCGAACATCTGAAATCTGACAGTCGTCAGTCAACAAAAGCTCTTTGAAGAGCCACGTTTAACCTGGATTCAGTGCGCATTCTACTACGGCTGTGCATCATGTTCAATGACGAATCTACGGTGGCCGATAGAGAACATTACAATATTTTTTTTCGCTAATTATCGCGCGATTTAGTTTACTTTGTCTGAGAAAGTTCGAGCTCGCGATAAAGTTTTCTTTAACTGAGAGATTTATCGCGCGATAACTTTTTAAACGTCGAAAATCAAGCAAGTACAACAAAAGTGGCGCATGCGTGTTTCGCTCTGCTAGAAATCTCTGTGCTATTTGCGTTAATTCATTTATCAAGCGCCATCCTACCGCCTTATATCACAGGTAGCCCAAGCTCACTATGAGAGCCCTGAACAACATTATCCTACTTAGCTAATTAATTATTCATACCGCAAGAAAATTATAAGACGTTGTATGGAGAAATATTCCTTGCTCACTAAATTAACAAAATGTACATTGAATATCGCTTTGAAGCTTACCTCTAGCGTCTTCTTGTTTTTCTATGTATTCTGACTGCATTTCAGACCTCCTAGGCACTGTTTAAGGCCTTTTTTGGAGCGACAGTTTTTCACCCAGATGACACTACACACCCCCAATTACTTTTCTAATGGTCCGTCCCTAACTGACCCACTAACCCCCAGCAGCCCAGCTCTCAAAACACTGATAAACCGGAATAAAATCTTGCAATTTAAATACAATAATAGGTCAATTCATTACACGGATAAACTTCAAAGCTTTTCTATGATTTTTGACTGAATTAAAAAGATTTCGTCAGTCTTTACTTCTCAGTTTTGTCGCACAAGAAGTTTCTAAAGTAGTCAGCATATTCTTTAGGAATAAGATCCTTTCTTTCAAGTATTTCATTGAGAAAAATTTGGCTCGGTTTTAGCCCCTCTTTAACATACTCTTCATAAGCTTGATACGCTGTCGCATCCACGATTTCGCCGCTTTTTCGTTCCACTTGTACGTTCACTCTCCGAAGCCTCCCTGCTTCGTGTTCATCTAACTTGGCTAAACTTCCTTTTAAACAGATGTACAAGACACCATAAACGGCCGACTCCTTATCTGGGATAATATTAGCATAACCAAAGCCATCGTCTTTCCATATGCAGAATACGACGCGAAATCCTCGAAGCACTGCTCTTTCGCGAGAGATGAACCTAGTGCCGCGTTCCCGCATTTTTCTTGCGCTCAGATTTGACCCAAAAGCAAAGTAAAGCTCTGTTTCTTCCATGGGTGTACAGTGTCCTTGACTGTTTTATACCAAACTGTGGTCGCTGATGAAAATGAGTCACACTTGATCGCCCTAGTGTGCGATGATGCTCACAGTTGCATCTCATTAGCTCATTAGCTGTCTCAGGCGTTTCAAAGTCACGGAGTGGCGTGAAGGAGAGTGTAGCCTGCGTAGCTAACGGGATTATTGCGCCTTGGGTACTTTCTTGGCGGCGGACCTGCCATTCGAAGGGAGTGACAGGTGAAAATCCCTCCTTGACTTGCTCCCAATCTTCACGCGGCTTCGCCGCCAAAAAACTACAGCACTCGCGGCTAAATCGCCAGCTACGCAAGCTAAGGAGAGTTTGAGTCTCCCTTCCCTTCTTCGTGCCGATCCCTTCTATTTCTTCTCTCCATGAGTCACCACTTTATGAATTCGGCACCCCATGTATGGTAATCATCCTAGAATACGAGCAGTCTCTCTTTTTTCTTAATAGTCCGTCGAGCAAAACGCGCGAGATAAGCAAATGAACATCAGCATAAATGAAGGCGCGAGACAGGAGAGCACGTTTCTCGCCTCTTTCCTTCCGTCTTTCGCGCGCGTGTTCTCCCCTCACTAAATCTGAAGAAAAAGAGAGACTGCACGCAGTTTATAATCATCCCAGGAATCAGGGAAATTTTTGAGTTTGGAATCCGGAATCCTGGGCTTTGGAATCCCTAATTTAGCTAAAAAAAATCCAGAATTCTGCTGCCGTTAACTGAGAAAACGCTTTTGAACAACAACAAAAAAAAAACCCCAGATTTTGGATATCTCAAGGAATTACGTCTTGCGCAAGACTTTTTGCAGATGATATGAAGGTGTCTTGGGTACAGAGGGACACTAAGCAAGATGTGGAAGAACTCGGCAGAAAGATCTTACTCGTTTGGAATATTGGGGCAATTGAGATTTAACTCTGATAAATGCGAAGTGATGCGTATTTCTTAAAAAGACAAACACCGTCGTCGCAAGCTAAGGAACCTGAATTGATATTGTTATTGGAAATCATGCATTGCACGCGCAATCTACAGATTATTCAGGTATCTGCTAGCAGATAACTAACTAATCTGTGGGTTCTGTAGACTAGGTTGCGCTGATTTCCAATATTAGCTATAGGCTCTTAGCCAATGAAAAGACAGATAGTGGTTATAGCCAAGAGTTTGGAAAAGAAAAAATAATTATTTTCATCCTGGAGTAGGTCTGGGCAATAGTTTCGAAGGCTCGATCAAGAGACAAGCTGTACAGCGGTCATAAACTAAAGCACAGGAAAATTCAAGATGGAGGACGGTAAGCATACTTTCCCACTGGATAATTGCTTAAATTTATCCTTAATTTGTCTCTATTCAGTGTAAAAAAATGTTTTCTTTATGTTATTAAGTCTTTGTTCATATTTATTTCACGAAAATGAAACGTCTGCGGCGTTGATTTTCAGCTTTTTCGTGATTGATTGGTCTGGTTTGTAGCGGTATGTCGATGAGTTGTTCTTCTGATTTCAACTAATCTCACTAGTATTACCTATTGTTAAGGGTTACTCCAATTTATACTTGGCTTCAAGTGCTAGGAGAATTTCTGCCATTATTCTCATAAGTGACCATGAAAAATGTACCTTTTTTCTTGGTAAATATCATTTTTGGTTTACGAATTTTCTCAAAATTCTAACAGTATGAAATGTATTTGTTTTAGTTGTTGATCGGTTGTTTAGCTCAGTTTCCATTGGGATCATCAGACCCTTTATAAGCCGCTCCTTGTGAATTTCACAGTACGTGACACTGAACAGTTCACTCGTGGCGGCTTTTTTTGTTTTCTTTGAGGTTTATAGGTTTACCTAGATTTAATTTGTACTAATTGTACTTTTGCATTGCTTTTTCAAAATGATCTGGCATCCCTTTACTTTGTTAATTTTTTGCTCAGCATATCTTTTTAGCGCTTATGATTTATCTTAAATCTAGCTGTTCTTAGTGCATATTTAAAATAATTTATCCCCTATATTTTGGTGCTGTTGGTGCAACTCTTGTTGGTATAATAAAGAATTATTTCTTTGTAAACATAAAGTTCCTGAGCACATAATTAAGTGTAATTAGAAAAAATAATGTTAACAAAGTGATCTAGACATTATCTCTGTTAGTGCCTGGAAAAATACATGTAAATCTTTGACAAAAGTTCTCTATACATTGTACCAAGGTGAAACTAACCTTTTAGTTTTCTATGTTGTTTTGGTAGATCTTGAATTGGAGCATGAAGGAGCAGCTCCAGGATCCACCTCACAGCCAGTCAGGCGAAACATTTCTTTAAAACTGAAAGCAAAGAGCAAGTCAGCAAGCTCATTGTCATCTGGGAAAAGCAAGAAAAAGGAAGGAAAAAGCGGAGAAAAGTCTAGGACAGGATCTGAAGGTAAAGAAGCCAATTTTCTTTCAACGCTGTACAGTGTATGTCCGGTTTTAAGCCTTGCTGTCATGTTGTTTTCTTAGACAAGAAATGTTAGTCCACTTTGTCTCTTCACCCAGGTGTATAAATGGGTACCTAAGGCATGCTGTGTGAAGGTTGTTGAGAGACACACGCTCTTGAGCAGCTCTGTCAATAAGAGCCTGAGACAGTGGATTCCCTTTGGCTACCATGAGCATGACCCCTGGCTACTTTCATAAGAAAATGGAATATAGAATATAGAACCAATACAGTGTTTGAAAAATCTTGAAGTTCAGCTTGTCCTTGGGGCAAGCAGCTCTCGTATTTTGCTTGGTTAAGGCCACCTTTTGCTTTTCTCTGTTAATGATTCTGTTAGAGGATCAGTGTTTTTATCCTTATTGGGTAAGTGAGCCTTAAAAGTTACTTGTCCAGCAAGAAAATCCTCTTGACCAGGACTACTGGATGGGACTTGTTTTGAGCTCTGCAGCAGAAATTTGTTTCTATTCATTTCCCTGCCTACATAAGAAAAACAACTTGAAATCTGAGCAACAGCCCTACTTGAGGAAATAAGCAACATTGACAAGTTTTTCATTTTTCTGTGAATGTTTGTTTATTCAAAAAGACAATCAGTATTACAGTGGAACCTCGATATAATGAAACTCTGTATAACGAAGTCCAGTATAACAAACGATTTTCTTTACCCCAGTTATAGTAAGATATGAAAAAGAACCTCGCTATAACGAAACACATTTTGCCAGTCACCTGGCCCTTTGTTAAATTGAGGTTCCACTGTACAGATGTTTCTAGAACCTTCTGGAAAAACCTAATTGGAAAAACAGGTTTTTCAAGAATGATCTTTTTGTTGTTACATCTTACCTGTTTTCTTGCCTGTTTTTTTTAGTTTTGTCCCTAACTGATCTGTCACGGAGTTCTCTTGTATGTTGGCTCATAAATAAATTTCAAGTTGTTTTTGAAAACTTCCGAAGCTCTGGTAAATTTATTAAGTTGAATGGCAACAAGGGTGTCCCTGTGATGAGCAAGTATCCTATCCAGAGAGGTTAGCCATACATGCTACAGAAATAAGGTTAAGCTCTGGATGTTTGGGCTTCAAGATGTAGGTCTGCCTCTGCCTGCTTTTGCATAGAGTTACACTGCTCTATTGGATGTTAATTCTTGCCTTCAGTTGTACTGTAATTTAGTGTGTACTGTAAGTGATAAAATTCTATCCTTTAAGTAAAAGTTCTTATATTGTTTTTAAAGAATTTGTTATTCATGTGTATCATCTGCCATACAACTATGATATTTTTTTTGTAATGAAATAGAAAAAGAGTTGTTTATTTGTTTACACAAATCCTGGTCAAAATTTTTTGATTACAGTGGAACCTCGTTAATACGACCACCTTCGGGCCATGGAAATTTGGTCGTATTAACAGGGTGGTCGTATTAACGGGGTAGGGTCAAATTATGGTGCAAAATACTTTTAAACTACATTCTACTACATGTATACCTTTAATCCGCTATAAACCAACCTTTTTGCAGTTAATTAACAACCTTACAACTGCAATTCAATGCAACTGAACAATGTAACAGTAAACGAAACCGAGTAATTTAGAAAAACACTGACTTCTTTCAGTTCCTTGTTATGAAAGGAAGGGGCTTGTGAAATGTGGGGGAGGATACGGGATGGAAATCCCATGCGTTTACAAGTTTACTGGACAGGCCAGAAACGTTGATATGCTTAACAAATTATTAGGCATTCCATATAACCGATCTGTGAGAAAAGAACAGGAAATGGACTCGAAGAGAAAAGCCACAGTGGAAGGCAGCAGAAACAAGAAGGCAAAATTAGTAATGTGCTATTGTTTGTCAGATTGTGTCTGTTTTCATTCACCAGCCCCACCAAGCATACCCTGGGTGCCAGAGACTTTTCTAGCGCGGTTTCTGGTTTCTGTCAAGTGTTTATGGTGACCCGCGCAAAAAGCCTCTGGAGCAGAGCGCTACTGCTTTGATGGCGCCGATCCAATTGTTAGCATGGTTGATTGGCTCCTAACAACTGCCTGAGAGACTTTGAATTTAACAGACGCTACAATTGGTTGACAAGAATAGACCAGTACGTGAAAGAATATTTCCAACTTTGCTGTTGTTGTACTCACGAGAAGTGTTGTGATGGCGGCTTTGGAAAGTTTTCAAAGATCATAATAAGCAATGTACTGGAATGGTTTGATGGTGTAGACAAGTTAAAAGCTAAGAGTAAACAAGTGGAGTATTTAATTTTATTCAACGCAATTAACCTGTTATTACCAATTCAGCTTTTGCAGCAATACAGTTTAAGCTTTACTAATTTCCCATTTCAAACGATTGCAACATGTTTTGAAATAGTTTGTATTGATGGATTAGGAATATAAAAACAAAACATGTGTTTTAGTATAAAAGAGGGGTCAGAAGGCAACACACGACTTTTACCTCATGCCAAAATGCTGCTTGTTCCATTGAATTTTTTTCCGTGATGGGTAGATTATGCTCTGGACAAAAATGTTTTAACTGAGCAAATTGGATTTTTGCCGATTGTTTCATACTGAGGGGTCGTGACACGCATATTCATTTTCTGCAGTTATTGTGTCTGGTCGGCATATGATTTGCCCTCTGATGCAAGAGCATTTTCTTTGACCTCTTTTGAAATGTTAAGCTCTTCAATGCGGCTAAATAAGGGTTTAAGGGTTGTTTAATTTCTCCAAAGTGCCTCCTGGATGTGAATAATTACAAACGATTTTCTTTTTGCCCATGAAAGTGACGTTTTCCTGCAATGTTTTGTCACGCTGGGCCCAGCTTGTTAGCGTTTTTAGCAGGATGTTAAATTCTCATGGATAGTGATTTTCAGATCCAAATCTCGAAGAATGGATTGCAGCTTAAACTGAAGCTACATCAATATTAATTTCCATGACAGTAAATAACGGACACATGACTAACCTGCAGCATGCATTCTCGTAAATTACGGTAATTCATAACATTTCTAAACAAATTTAACAGGGTGTGCATATAAGTAAAATCGTTGCTCATTGGCGCTTAGTGATAGCTATAACAAGTTTTACTCTCATGTGTTTGTCATATCTATTAGGTGATAAGGAAAGTAAAAGGAAACAGAAATCCCCTGGAACAGCTGCAGCAGCTCAAGTGGTTGTCATGAGAGAACTCTAGTGGGATCATCAAGTATGTACTATTAATTTTATGATTTCTGCTCATTCAGCCCCAGTCACTTAGCCCCTATTTGCAGGGTGCAAAGAAAGTCAGTTTTACAGCATGTCATTCGAGCAAACTGTAGCAAGCATTAATTTACTAGCCCAAAAGTCATTTCAGCTAGCCCCATTATAACCCTTTTTGATTAGCAGGATTGATTACAATCCTTCTGTGATTATTAATTTTTTGATGGCTCTAGTTTAGAAAACTGTAATAGGTTATTGCGCTTCCCTCTTTAAATAAAGTCATCGTAAATTGTATTGTATTGTATTGTAATTTCAATTTCCCCAAAGCACAGCACTTGCCCGTCGGGCAAGTTAAGAACAAAATTGTGACCCTCTTTGGGAAAACGGACACTAACGCTTTTCCGTTTAAACGAGGAAACCGTTTACTATCCGTTTAAATCCGTTTAATCGGTTCATGCAAGCGTTTAAACGGTGTGCTTATCCGTTTAAAAAAAGTTGCACCCGTTTAACGCTTTAACGAAAACGTTTAAACGGTTTGCTTATCCGTTTAAAAATATTTGCATCCGTTTCATGTATTCGTGAAAACGTTTAAACGGTTTGCTCATCCGTTTAACGCTCTAGGGAAAACGTTTAAACGATTTGCTTATCCGTTTAAGAGGAAAGCAAGCAGCTGTTTAGAACTGCGAGCAGAACACTTACTATGAAGCGTGGTCGCTCGAAACTCGCCGAAACGTGAACTGCTGAACAACCGTAAAGTATTTTTTACGTATTTTTAGTTCTAACTAATCCTTGTTTTTAGAAAGCGAGTAATCGTCGTATCCTTGGAGAAACGGCTAAAAAGTTAAATAAGACTTATTTAAGTCAAAACGTATTGCATTGAGAGCCGATGAAGCCATTATTTTGTTCACAGGAGTGTGGCGACCGTGGTTCTGTACTTGATCTTGTTTCGGATTTGGTGAAATCGAATAAAATCACGCTCTCTTGGTTCCCGTGTGATTGTTTTGAATCGTTCCTAAAAGACAATTTTTTTAGCTCAGAAATTTAGGTCATCGCTTGGTGGGATTGTGATGGGTTACAATTATCCAGAAGATGTTCTTTCTTACTTATTCTGTAGCCAACCAGACGAAGGGAAGAAGATAAAAAAATCAATAGCGAGCGCGCGCTCATTTGATTCGTGATGATTGTGATGTCACTTCCCTTCCTTCCTCGCTTTTAATCGCTAAATCAAGCATTCCCAAGACACTGATAGCAGTCGTTTACGACGACGACGACCTCAGTCTATCCTCACTTACGCTATGCGATGGACAGGTCGATTTGGAAGGGGCCGAAAACATCGACGACGCTGTGACCTGCTTTGGGAAACAAAAACCAGGTGAAAATCTTGAGTAAACAACAGCATGCAAATTGCACATTCGCCATTGAACTCAATCGAACAACTTTGTGCTCACTGTCACGCAATCAAAAATAAAAGTCGAAACCATCACACAAATAAAATCAAGAATCTGGAAGATAAATATGCGAACATTCTCGCCAAAATTCAGGTCAGTGCGTTTTTTTTGTAGGTGAGATATTCTGAGAAATGATTTACCCAGATTTATAGAGCTTTGTATGGAAACTAACAGAAACATTGTCATTGAGTTTTACTATGAGAGAGAACAGTCATCACTCAAGACCTCATATTTATTGAAAACAGCACTTATTATAATGCAAGGAATGCTTAGAGAGAAAAAAAACTCAATAGCTACGCCTAATCTAGCCTGTACCCAGACGTTGTTTTATTTTTCTTTCCGTTCTGTTCGAGCGCGCGACTACCCCCTTGAGCTGGCGGTCATCAAATCCCTCATCACCCACGCTCGACGGACTTTGAAGAGAAAATAGAGCTATTTTAAAAAGGCTGTAATATTTACCTGTGTGACAGCTTTCTACGCCGCCATTTAGTGTCGCGTGACACGAAGGCTTTAAAATTCAAATGTGTTCTATCGCATAACAAAGAGTCCTATCGAACTGAAAACGTGTGAAAGGGCAAGTGTTCAGATGGTTAACACACGACCTGCAATGTCAAAACCTTTTAGGATTTTCGGTTTTTCTGCAGCGTCAATTCAAACTGTTACCATGGCATCCAATCCTAGCTTGTCAAATGCTTTCACGTTTTGAAGACAGCAACATAACGTTTTGCAGGTCGCGTGTTATCCTAAACAGAAAACATTCTGAATTTGAAATCTTGATTACGTCACTATTTATTATTGCTTTTGCTGTTTCCCGATTAAAGAAAGCAGTCTTGGTTTGGCATCTAAAGCTTTATTTTACTAATCGAGAGTTCAGGAACCGAACACGCAAGGTTTTTTGTGAGTTACCGAGATTCGAATTTCGCTCGGTTTGGTACGAGCTTACATGAGGACAACAATATAACTATTGTATGAAGAACAACAAGGGGTAATCCTAAAATAATTTTTTAGCAGAACTTCATTTATTTCATGTATGTATAATAATTACCTAAGAATCATTAATTCGAATAAATTCTCTCACAGTGTAGGGTTCAATTTGATAGGAAGAAAAAATAATAAATACTAAAGCCAATTTATTACATGCATAGTAAGAGCAACAGCTGATCAAGCTCGAAACAATGATTAACTCATGGCACTGGTGCAACTAAATCTTCCGTTCCAGGCTTACAAAACTGTCTTATTTCGCGATATAAGTAGTTCCTGCGTTCGTCACTTAATCCTTCTGGGTTGATCTTCTGCGGAAGAACTGAACCTGGTGGGATGACAGCACCATCCTTCAGTAGCACACACGCTTGTTCCGGAGATGACAAATATTCTCGGCAGTAAACCACACCTGGTTCATCCTTAGAAAATCTAAAGTGGTGGAATTTTTTTATGTTCGGGATTTTTTTGAAATATTGCCCAAGAAAAGTAGACCAGTCGTATGCAGGTACTATGACACGGCCATCGTGCGTCGACACCAGTTGGGCCTTGTTCACGCCTGTGTTGCTTGAGGTGTCCACCATTCGAGCTAGTTCATAAATCGACGAAATGAAATTGAGCTTGTAGGACTTTTTCAGCTTTCCAAAACAACGATCCGGGCCAAATTTAGTATGCCCAGCAATCAGGAAAGAGTACTTGATAGACTGGTGAAGTTCAGTAGCAATCCTCCATGCAAAATACCATAAAAAGTAATTGTTTTTATTTTGTCCAGAACAATTGTCAGCGTGTAAGTGAACGTCT